TGCCATAGATAGCAGCACTGTGTTGGCTCTCCTCTGGGTTCTGTTGCTGCAGAGACAAAATCCCTGGCCACACTCTGCACCAAAGAGGCTTTCTTTCTAAATGGACTCTCAGCTTAAGAACTGCTGCATGGCCAGTTTTAGTTTTCAGCCTTCCCTGTCATGCTGCCTGCTAATCATGCTGGCAGAGAACACGGCACCTAACAGGATTTAAGTTCCATGACGCAAGCACAGGAAATCCAGGTGTCGTGGGCCAGGTTAATTCACCAGCCAAAGATGGAGGTGCTAAGAAGGGAACAGGGAATCAAAGGAAGTCCTGCCAGTGGCAATTTGGAAAGCGCTGAGGGGCCACTTCCCCTTTTTTGCAAAGGTGACGACCTCCACCAATGACACAATTTTGCTTTACTGTGTCAAAAATAAGAAAATTAGCAATGATTTATCGATGCCCATTCTCTAACAAAAATCATACTGCCTTTGCAGAGCTCTGTCAGGACTCTCTCATAGCCCACTAGGATCCATTCCTAACCTGCCAGGTTTTGATCTGGCTTAATGCCAGCATGGGATAATGCCAGCGATCTGAGTCAAGAGTGTCAGACTCAGATCGGGAAACCCAGGTTCAAATCCCCACTCTCCCATGGAAACTGGCGGCACAGCCAGTCATTCTCTCAGTCTAATGTTGTGAGGATAAAACAGAGGAGGAGAGAATGATGTTGCAGACAGCTTTGGGTCCCCACTGGGGAGGAAGGCATGGGATAAATACCTAAATACAGATTATATCGTGTAGATTATTTCAGCGATGCTTATAAGACCCTGTTGAGATAAGGGTGTGTGTGTGAGGTGCCATCAAGTCGCAGCTGTCTTATGGCGACTCCGTAGGGTTTTCAAGGCAAGAGATGTCCGGAGGTGGTTTGCCATGGCCTTCCTTTGCACAGCAACCCTAGATTTCCTTGGTGATCACCCATCCAAGTATTAACCAGGGCCAACCCTGCTTAGCTTCCAATATCTGGCTAGCCTGGGCCATCCAGAGCAGGGCAAAAAGAGGTTTACTCTCTTGAAATCCAGGCAAGTGGCAGAATGGTACAGTGGACTGTAACGCTGCAGGTCACACCCTGCTTGTGTGCTCCTGGGAAAACGTCTGGCAGGCCACCATTAGAAACAGGAGGCTAGACTAATTAGACACTGTGGTCTGATCCCGAAGGGCTCTTCTTGTATCTTCACCATCTTTTGAATGGCCTTCCCATGCCTGCAAGTAAAACAGCTAGCACATCAGGATCTATCCCGGCCCATTTCCTGCCATGCTAACTTTCTACACGCAGGAATTGTTTAACATACAAGAACGTTAAAAAAATGTGACCGCCATGCAGCCTTCAGGACCTTTTTATGTAGCATCCAGAATTCAGCTCTCAGTGGCTCCTTTCATTACACAATAAAAGCTGCTGCTGGAAGTGCAAATAGTCTAATTTTGCCTGGAAAACTATGAGCAAGAGGGGAGTGGACTTGTGGGCACAATAATTGATAAGATTAAAAAAATATGTTCATTATCCTGTTCATATCAATTGCTACCATCTAAATCCTGAGAATATGCCCAGCAATCTACAGGGATAGTGGCTGGCTCCTGCCGAGATGTGTTTGGATGCACAGAGAGGAGCAATTATATTGATTCTCATCTGTAGAGTCTAAGAACCAGCTCACTCCCCCCCATAAGCCAGTGGATCATGACTCACGAGGGCTGGCTGACACGTGAATGCTCGTTACTTGAGCACTACCCCATCCACTGAGAACCTGAAGAAGTGAATCAGCAATACATTGCTACAAGCTTGGACTGGACTGGCCCATTCGCCAGGAGAACACCCACTGGACTACTGTTCTGGTGGGTGAGGAGTGATCTAGCTGAACTGCGTCCCAGTGGTCAGAGCTAAGCAGTGTTTGTGGGGCTGCCAGTACTACTGGGAGGGACTTGGCTGAGCTTGCCGCTGGGGCTTCTTTAATGTCTCAGTCCACCAATCACACATACGGGTGTTCTATAACCCGCTGTCATCTCCAGCCCGGGGTTATTCCATCTGTCGGTCCCTGTGTTCAGCAGAACAGGAAAAGGCAAAAAAGCAATTGGTGCAGTGGGGAAAAAAAAATTCCAATAGACCTGATGAGCCCTACATCTTTTGCCTACAGGTAGTCCTCCAGGCCAGCATTTCTTAGAACACAACCCTTGTCCCACAGACTTGACATTTGGGGCTATATAGATCAGATCGCCATGACAAAATGTCACTGAAAAAAGAGGCAGAGTAGATTTTGAGAGTGAAAAGCTCTGGTTGCTAATGGGTTAAATTAAAATTTGGGGTTATTACTGCTTATATGAGATAAAAACCTCTTTCCCAGTTATATGCTTTTCTTTGATGCTTAGCTGCTGTGGGAACTTTCTGGCAACATTGCTGTACAAGTTAGCTGAAATTTATCTTGCTTTAATTTATCCACATCTCTCTTTTTAAAAACTATTATTCCAATAGCATGCATCCTATAGTTCTTACAATGGGCCGGAGAAGACATAGACGACAATTCATGCAATGTGTACGAGATATCAATTAACTGTTTTTCTCACATTCTCCATTTTTACTGTCTTTCCAGAATTTGTTCTTCAGTGTGTTTTAATATCTGTGTGTATTGTCTTTGAGACTTGTCTGCATTTATATATGTTTACAGATCCCCATGACAAAGCACAAGCAAAACACACAGGGATTGTCACGTCTGATAAAATATTTGTTCCTGCTGTACCAATCTTGCCTTTTTTTGCCTTCTCTTGTTTGACATGATATTTTGAGTTTGTATTCTTAGAGCCCCGTGTTCAGTGGCCAGCCTTGAGCCACTTGGTGTAATGTACGTAACGTAAACCAGCATCATGCCAGAATCAAGGCAAGGGAGTAATACTCAAAGAAGAACGAGAGCGCTCTGCAAACTGCCAAGAGGGGAGGCCACTAGCAGGTGCTTGTCCACCAGTGGAGCCAGAAGGAGCTTAAACTCACGAGGCCTGCCAGTCTCTTTTCTTCCATGCAAAGAATTTCACAGCTGGGCCAAAGCCAGCAGCTGCCAGGTATTCTGGGGATCAGGTGCCCTGCAGGGTGGGTTTTCTGGCCCCAGTTGGGTTTGTAATGCCAGTCAGCACGTGGGCCTGGCTCCAAGTCAGGGGCTACCTAAATGCAATGTCAGCACCACGATGCATCCTAGAACACAGACGTGTGCAGCACAGCCCGCCAAGAGAATAGGTCAGACTGTGCTGCATGCTAGAACACAGACGTGTGCAGCACAGCCCACCAAGAGAATAGGTCAGACTGTGCTGCAGTCTTCCGGTGCCTGCCATTTTCACTCTGTCCCCTGGGATAACAGCTACTCTCAAGTCCTAGCTGGCTGGCTGAAAAGCCACTGGGGGGGGCTGTGGGGGCAAACACGGTGGGCAGCTAAAAGGCTCTGTCTCACTCTTTGGCCCACCAGCCACCCTGTTGTTTTAAACCACTCCCCACTATACAACTGTGCGCACAGGTCTGCCATCACCCTATCTAGTTAGCTCCTGGTTCACAAATGCTCAGTTGCATTACAGAAACCAAGGGCTAAAGTGCAACCTGTTTCCCACTCTGGAGGTTCTCAGCACAGATCCACAGCCCAGGCTGGTGTTGCGCTGAGCTGCTAACATTGCACCTGTAGCAGCTTTGCATGTGTAGCAACTCCCTGTTACACACCGTACTAAGCACAAGCAGTGTTGCACAGGTCCAGTCTTGTACTCCAGACTCACATAAAAATTGAGCCTTAGCTCAAGGATAAGTGGGTTGGGTTTGCCAAACAGGCAATGAAATCAGATCACCGGGGATGTAATAGCTTTTAATAACTTTTATATAGTGCCATACTCCTTGAGCCTGTGGACGTTTACTCAGAAGTAAGACCTGCTGAGTTCAAAGGTAGATATTCTCAAGTAATTGCAGAGAAGTCACCACATTCGGCCATTGCAGCAAAAGCAGAAGCCCGACAAAATTTATTTCAGCATTATATGTTTGTGAGTCAGAGCTCCCTTCCTCAAATGCATGCAGTGTACATCCGTAGGATGGTGAGGACAATTAAGAAACAAGAACCGATATAAGAGAATCCAGGCCATTCAGAGTGGGTGAGGACCACTCCCAACTGTAGACAGATGTATATGGATATACCCCCCATACGTCTGATGAAGTGCACTTTGACTCACAAAAGCTTGTGCTGAAATGAAGTTTGTTAGTCTTTAAGATGCCCCTGGACTTCTGTTTGACAATTCTCTAGTAAGACTATCCATGACTGCAGCCTGAAGAAGTGAGCAGTGACTCATGAAAGCTCCCACATATTTTGTTAGTCTTTAAGGTGCTACTGGACTCTTGCTCTTTTCTACTGCAGCCTTAGAAGCCTTCGGAGCTCTTCACAGGCCGTTTCTTGCTCAGTCTTACAACAGCCCTGTAAGACAGGACACATTATTATTATTATTATCATCTCTATTTTTGCAGATGGGGGACTGAGGTTAAGACAGAGAATGTTACCTAAGGCGAGCGAATGGCAAAAGCAAAATCTGAACCATGGTCCTCCCAGATCACAGCTCTGCCTCCATGTCACTATGCTACTCTAGCTCTTGGGAGTTTTGCTAGCACACGCCAATAAAAACCAAGTTCTGCCAAGCCCCTTCCTGTATAACCTTCCGACTCATGTTTATGGTGATGTGACAGAGGGACCAAGCTCTTCCTTCATTCTCTTAGGCTTGCGCGTTGCCTGCACATGAATGCAGGCAGCCACTGGGTGGCAACATCTCCGCTAAAGCACGTTCCAGTTTTCAAGGCTTCTTCAAGACACTATTGCAAACCAAAGATCATAGTGCAGGCTGCCAAACTATTAACTTGGCATGTGGTATCGACCACAGAACAGTCCTCACCAGAGCCACCAGCTGGCACCTGGGAAGAAATGTCAGAGAAGTACAGGCAGAGTGTGATCCAAAAACCTTCCTACCAATAAGGGTCACGGATCTCTGACCGCCGCCAGGTCTGCAAGCGAGAGAGGACCAAAGCTGCAGCCCGAGAGGTCCCCAGAGGCTCCCCAGCCCCAATAGTGCTCTTTGCCAGCCGCGAAAGGGCACCGGGAGGGGAAGCAGCCACCACCTGGCGTATTCTGTAGTTCTTCCCTTGGTTGTTGTCCCAGTAGACTTTTGGGCCGGACTGGAAGGAGATACAGAACTCAACAGACCCGCAAAGAACTGGACTTTTGGGCAGAGCCACCTCAAAGGAAAATGCATCCGTGTCCATATAGCCGTATGTATTGTGCAGATACTGACAACAGATGTCCTGGAAAGTCTTCCAGGAGTCAAAGGTGATCCGGATGTACACTTTCTTCTCGTAACTAATGTTTCTGACTTTGACAGTCCCAGAAAGGGACTTCTCTTGGATCAGGCAGCTTTCCAAGGAAACCAAACTGCTCTGTAGGCGACTGCGAAAAGCGGAATAGTCAGCAGAGGGTTGGGAGAAGTCCAGCACGTACTTTATCATCTCAAGCCGGGGGGCCCGACACTTGTTCCGGAAGCTGGTCAGACTGGACAGGGCGTGGTGCAAATCACACAGGTCTTCCTCGATCTTGGAGAAGATCCGTACGGCTGTGAGCGAGAGGCCCTTCATGTCAGCAAAGACCACCTTCTTCTTCTTTTTGGCCCGGCAGCCCTTGGCGCCCTCCTGCCTCTCGGGTTCAACGCAGAGGCAAGACCTCAAGGGCTGGTGCCCCAGGCCGCCTCGCAGCTCCTCATAGGAGTCCAGCAGCTTACGGATAGGAGGAGGGTGGCTCAGGCAAAGCCGCATGGCCCGGTCTCCTGGCGTGGCTCGGGGCACAATGGCCCGTGTACTGAGCACCTGGAAAAGGCTGAAAGCAAGGAAAGGGGTTAGTGGCCACCTTGGAGATGCCACGTAAGGACTGGAAATGACCTGCAACTTAGGGCTGCTGCTTCACATGCGCCTAACTGCTCCAAACATACAGAAAATCAGAAAAAGTACTCATCATATCATGCCAGCCTCCATGTTCACTCCCATCCTGGAAAGCTGATGTACGCAAGGGCTTTTCCATACATGCCTCAGTGACAAAATAGCACAGAGGCAAATACATACATTCAAACTACAGTTTAAATGATCTTCAAGGGTGCATGTGTGCATCCTTTTATTTGGAGATGCTGGGGATTGAACGTGGGACTTTCTGCATTCAAAGCAGATGCTCTGCCAATGAGCCCCACCCCAGCCAAAATTTACTAACAAGGCAGCAGGTTATGCTCATTGCTTAGCCAAAATTTACTAACAAGGCAGCAGGTTAAGGGCATGCTCATTGCTTCATTGGAAGCTATTCTGGTTCTCATGCTTTACTGTAATAGGAAATGACAGATGAAAGATTAAAGACAGCCATTGTTTTAATTTTTTTTAAGGCTACTCCTTTAACAAGTGATAGCATCCATTTATTAGGTTGGACACATCATTTAATAAGCGTCTTTCAGTACTTGACAAAAAGCACCTACACTGAGGTTTGGATAACAGATCTGACTAATTGATTAATCAGTAAAAAAGCAGGTAATTCAATTAAGTAAAAGTTCTTTAAATTGCTGGCAGCCTTGCAAAGACAGCACATGCTGAGTACAATTTGCACAGCCGGTCCTGTTTAAGTGGTGGGCTTCCACCCACTTATTAAAGTGGAGTGCAAACAAAAGGTCAACCTAACAGACGTTGATCCTAGAATGGGAAAATCCAAATTCCCTAGTGGAAAGCTGGCTACTTGAGCCCAGGCCCATAGCCATGGTGGGGCATTTGGAGGCAGAGCCCTCCCACACCCCAGGAGGATGCTAGACCCCACCCTACCTCCCAACTGGGGAAGTAAAGGGAAGCCGCCCTGCCGCTTCTGGTCTGCCCCCCCCCCAAACATTTTTCTGGCTACAGGGCTGCTTGAGCCCCATTGAAGTAAATGGGAGCTGTGCCAGTGCGCCAACCCCACACTCTGCTGCCCTTGCAACACCTGAAAATTACCAATTCTGGGCACATAACCCCTGATATAGGAAGGGGGGGATTTTGAGAAACCCGATACCTCTATCCTGCTGGATCAGAGTTCCTAACTAAAATTAGACGCCAGGAACTGAAAGCAAGACTTTCAACCTGAAAAGCATTTTGTTACTGAGCCAAGACCTCCTCCCTAGCCAGACTGCCATGTACCACGAATGGGAAACAGGTGTCAGTGTTGGAAACCAAATCACATATGGGCCTACTTCAGGTGGCACCAATGTTATCCTGCAGCTGATAAAAAGTAGGCCATCGCGTGCCTTGGCTAATGCTGTGTTCACAGATTAGTGGTTGTCATCTGAACAATGCAGGTTGTCTTCAAAAAGCTGTGTGTGTCTGCCCCTACTTTTGCCATCAGACTAAGAAAAAGCAGACAAAGGAAAAACAGTGTAGCTTGCTCTTGTGCCTTTTGCAACAGTTTGATTGGCAGAATACCACCAATGAAACTTATAGCTGCCCAGAGATAAATATGGGCACTTGCTAATACCAGTGTGCCCAGTGCTGCTGTAGGCAAAACTACAGGGAAGCTGCCATCCCTGCCACAAATCCTACAAACTATGTCCTCAAATCTTTGCAAATTAACAACCATCTATCTGTCTGTTCATCCATCCAGCCTCACCCCCCCATCTCTATAGCACATTCTCAGCATTTGATCCTCCATGATAACAGCCCACAAGTAGGGTTATAAACAGAGAATCCCGGATAGCTCCATCTATTCTTTTACTGGCTTAACCCCCAATTTATTGTTAGGGAATTTTCACTGAGATGGACCAATACAACAGAAAGCAGGCTCCCCCGCACCTCGCTTAGAGAGAGAACATAAGGATCTTCAGCAGGTCCAGGTTTTCACGTCCCTGGGGCACTTCCATGAGAGAAGCTGCACTAGATAAAATTCTCTTATCTACTGATGCCATATCTGCTGTTGCACAGGAGCACACACACACACACACCGCGCGGCAGGGCTTCTGCATCTTTAACATTTGTACAGCATGGAGAAACTCAGCCGGGAAAAGGCGCCCCTCCCCCGAGATGCTGGACAACGGGAAACTTCTCCGGCTGAAGCTCCGCCTGCCACTCAACTGCGTAATGACACAGGGGTCCGGCTAGGGGAGGAAGAGCATGTGGGCGCTGTCTAAAGCTAGCGCTTATTTCACCCAGCAGAGATAAAAGAAGGACTGCAGCACGAGAAAGTCCTAACGCGGCCCCCCTTCCCACGCGCCACCCAAAGCACTCACTCGCCACAACTCATCGCGCCGGCTGCTGTCCCAGATCCACGGCGCCTCTTTGAGTGAATGAATGAATGAACAGCCGAAGCCAGAGCGCGGCACCTACCTGGCCACACCCACGCAGGCGACCAATCAACACCCGCGACACACACACACGCACACCCGCCCAAACCCGCCACATGCTTAGTACACCCCAAAGGCTACCGCGGGAGGAGGGGCCTGAGATCAGCCGGGTTTTGCAAGGACTCATTCTTGGAATTTGGAAGGCTAAGGCTCCTTGAGCGTATGCAGAGTGCACTTCTATTCACCGTTGCGGAATTGCATGCAATGGGTTGTTCCCAAGTGGAGAAGGAGAAAGCTTTCTGCCTCCCCAAGTGTCTTGACTCTTCCAGGGAAAGGTATGTGCCCCGACAACTCTGTGTACAAATTAAACCATCCCCTATTCCAGATCTGCTGTGTCTCTCTGGCTAAAAGCTTTAGATTTGACCATAGGAGATCTGAGTGCTCCGCTATGGATCCTTAGGCAAACCACATTCTCACTCCCAGCCTCAGCAGCACCACATGCAAAATAGGAATATCAGTAGACTGCCTCACAGAGGTGTTGAGAGAACAAAGACTTAAAAGTACTTTAAGCATTCAAGGCTACCTAAGGCTTTTATCTCTGAATTTAACGAGGCTAGGATGGATGAGAACACATTCCAGGAGATCTAACAGTAAAAGAGCCAATTGCCCATGGTTTGCTGGAAAATCCAGCAACACTGTAATAGTAAAAAATGCGCAAATAAATCTAGCGAGCAAAGCTTCCCCCCATTGCCTCTTTTTTTTGGTTGGGCTACACCAGTTGAATTTTTCCCTCTTAGGCAAAAAGAAAAGAGTTGGCAATCCGCTTTGGAAGCTGTTTGGAAGCACAAATTAAACCATCCCCTATTCCAGATCTGCTGTGTCTCTCTGGCTAAAAGCTTTAGATTTGACCATAGGAGATCTGAGTGCTCCGCTATGGATCCTTTAGCAAACCACATTCTCACTCCCAACCTCAGCTGCACCACATGCAAAATAGGAATATCAGTACACTGTCTCACAGAGGTGTTGGGAGAACAAAGACTTAAAAGTACTTTAAGCATTCAAGGCTACCTAAGGCTTTTATCTCTGAATTTAACGAGGCTAGGATGGATGAGAACACATTCCAGGAGATCTAACAGTAAAAGAGCCAATTGCCCATGGTTTGCTGGAAAATCCAGCAACACTGTAATAGTAAAAAATGCGCAAATAAATCTAGCGAGCAAAGCTTCCCCCCATTGCCTCTTTTTTTTGGTTGGGCTACACCAGTTGAATTTTTCCCTCTTAGGCAAAAAGAAAAGAGTTGGCAATCCGCTTTGGAAGCTGTTTGGAAGCATTCGTCAGCACGGTGTAGTGGCTATAATGCTGGAATTAGATAAACATATGGAACAGAGGTACATCAGTGGCTATTAGCCACGAGGTATGGATAGGAACTCTCAGTCTGGGGCAAGTGATGCTCTGTATTCTTGGTGCTTGGTGGGGGGGCAACAGTGGGAGGGCTTCAAGTGTCCTGGCCCCACTGCTGGACCTCCTGATGGCACCTGGTATTTTTGGCCACTGTGTGACAGTGTTGGACTGGATGGGCCATTGGCCTGATCCAACATTGGCTTCTCTTATGTTCTTATAACTAGAGTCTCAGAGAATCAGGTTCAAATCTCCATTCTGCCACAAAAGCTCATGAGGTGTCCCTGGACCAGTCATACACTATCAGGATAACCTCCCACACAGGTTTGTCGAGAGGAGAAAACAATGAGCAGTGTGGAGAAAAGCAGGGCATACATATCTAATTTTTAAAAAACCTAACTGAAATTGCAAAAGTGTGGGAAAGGGAGAGGTGAAAAAAAAATATGAACAACCCTGTGAAAGCAGAGTCCTTGGCCTTTGGGCAACAGCAGCAGTTCCCTGGCTGATTAGAATTAGCCACATGGCTGCTAATCCAGGAGACAATGCATCTAAAAACAGCATCTTGTAATTTGCCTGCTGCCTCTCTAATCAGGGTCATGGCCAGACAGTGACTCACACACCCTGGGCTGCCGCCGGTCAGAGAGACTGCACGTGTCAACTGGTAAGTTCACAGGCAGGGAGAGCAAAGCAAAAAGCGATTCATTCACAGACGCACACACAATCCATATCCAACACAAAGATGCAGGTGTTGGTCTGTGGGAGAAACAAATAACCACACGACCACAAAGGAGCAAGTAGTGAGCTGTCAGGTTTCCCCACAAACTCTTTTTAAATACAAAGATATGGGGGGAGGGAGAGAAGCCCTTTGTTATTGTTGTTGTTCAGTCGCACAGTCGAGACTCGAGTCTGACTCTTTGTGACGGTCAAGTATTGACTCAACGCCGTTGTAAGTAAGTGATTCAGCTTTATTATCAACAGGAACATCAGAATAACACACCACAACAGTGGAGCATAGCTCCCTTTTAAACTATCCCAGGCTGATGTAGCCACGCCCTAGAATAGTTAAGGACCAATAGCATTGTAAGGATAACAACCAGTCAGGTCTGTTCCCTCCAGTACAGTTTCTCTGGCTTCTGATTGGTTACCACTATACATTAGCCAATAGGATTGTTCCAGCTTAGAATCCTGGCTAAGGTCTCAAGCTTAACATTACATTTCATACAGTGAATACATAACCGTGACCCCATGGACCACATCACGCCAGGCCCTCCTGTCTTCCACTGTCCTCCGGAGTTTGCTCAATTTCGTGTTCACTGCATCGATAACAGTGTCTAACCGTCTCATCCTTTGCCATCCCCTTGTTCTTTTACCTTCAATCTTTTCCAGCATCAGGGTCTTCTTCAGGGAGTGCTCCCTTCTCATTTGGTGGCCAAAGTATTTGAGCTTCAGTTTCAGTGTCTCTCCCTCCATGAAACAGTCAGGTTTGATTTCCTTTAGGATTGACTGATTTGATCTTGCAGTCAAAGGGACTCTCAAGAGTCTTCTCCAGCACTATAATTCAAAAGCATCTATTTTTGGTGCTTGGCCTTCTTTATGGTCCAACTCTCGCAGCCATACATTACTACTGGGAATACCGTCCCTTTAACTATACATACTTTTGTTGGCAGGGTGATGTTTTAATTGTATTATTTAACTGTTGTACACCGCCCTGAGCCCATTTGGGGAGGGCAGTATTTAAATCTAATAAAATAAAATAAGTGTCTCTTGGATCCCATCTTGGCACAATAGGTTCTTGCATTCAAAGTGAGCTACCATTTCGTACATCAAAGAGACACCAAAAGAATGGGAAGCTTTCAGTACCCCAGGATTTTGAGGTCCCTTTTCAGGACCTGCTACCTGGGATCCTTAGCTGGAATTTGAACCTTTGTCTGACTGCATGCTCAAAGTGTGCTCTGCTACTGAGCCATAGTCACAAAGCTTTCTTACACTGATTCAGACCAACTTAGAACGGCTATGTGCACCTGCTTTCCCAAATGGTGAGGGGTTACAGGCAGGGGCTAACGCTTACCCAGGTTTGTTCCCTTTGGAGGATAGGGCACTGGGGACTTAGGGCATTTGGGGAATACTTGCTTTATTTTCAAATATACAAGCAGGATGTACAAGAAGGCACATGGCTCTGGTTTCTCTGGGCATGGTGTGTTAGGCCAAACCTGCAGAGTAGAGCCATTCACACACCCACCAGTCTTTTTCGGCCCCGGCCCCAGCCTGGTGGAACTCTTCCAAGTGAGATCCAAGCCCTGCAGGACTTAACTCAATTCTGCAGGACCTGTAAGACTGAAATGTTCTTCCGGGCATATGGTTGAGGACAGCAATGGTCAGAGATCAGTGGCCTCCCGGGTTTCTCCCTCCCCCAATTCTCTCCTGGTTAAGATCCTCCCCATGGGTGGAATATGGATTGTATGCCAACCACCCCAGCTATCTGTGATGCCATCAAACAGTAGATCAAATTGCTGAGTAGTACTGGAGCTTAATTGGACTGCATCTATTTTATTATGTATTGATGTATAATTATTCTATGTATTTTATGTATAGATGTATATACATATTGTACACCACCCTGAGTCCTGCTTGCGGGAAATGGAGTGGGATAGAAATTAATTAAATAAATAATAAAACTATTTGTTATTTATGGTCCGCCTTTCTCACATTGACAAGGCGGATTACACATAGTGAGTCAGTACAATCAACAAGTTGGGATATTCAATAATTAAATGCATTAGGATATTAGAAGACTGGAAACCACCAGAAAGAACAGGAGCATAGCATATGACATATCAAGTCTTACAGAAATGACATAATAGGAACCTGGGAGGGGGTGAGTAATTATAGACCTGTTGGACACCTCTAGATTGAGACAATGCTTACCCATCCTCCTCTTTTGAACTGCAGAATCCCTAACACACCAGCCATTAACCTCTTGGAGGGTTAACAGCCAAGTACATAGCTGTGCTTTCCCCCATACAGAGACATTTGTTCAAAATTCAAAATGTTATGGGTTTCTTTCCTTCAAAGTGAGCTCTGTCTACCAAACACTGGACTTCTATGTTTGTTATTGGTCTTCTCTGGGGACTGACCTCCATGGAGGTCCACCTTACATCATTCATAACAGCAGCTCCGCTGGATCAGTCCAGCACCATGAATCCCTTGGCAGCCAACCAGATGCCTACATACAAGGCACAGAGGCCAAAGTGTTCTGTTGTGATTCCTCCCCTACAACAGATATTCCGAGGTATGCTGTCTCTAAACAAGGAGCACCTATTTAAGCCATCATGGCTCATAATGATAGACCTGTCCTGCATGAATCTGGCCATCATTACATCTTTTGGCAGTGAGTTCAACTAGTTAATTATGTGTTGGGAAATCTTTTATGTGCAGAGCGCTTTAACCAGCTAATGGTGGAAACTGTCACAGAGCAAGCTAAAGATCACTCTTGTCAAATACACCTATTCTGGGATAGCAGAAGAGAGACCCACCTTCCTCCCCTACAGAAGGTTTGTACAGAGGTCATGCCTGCCTCTTTCATGTTCTCCAGCAGCAGAAGAGGATGTAGCTTTGCCTCCTTTTTCGCGGCACTGTTCTCATCAGCCACCCTCTTTTCAGCCATCTTACACCTGACGAGATTGATTTGTTAGATCATGCCAGGCCACCATTCAGATCTTCAGAGTGGCTTCCAAATACGTTTCAACAAAGTTGTTGGCAATTCCCCATCCCCAAGTTGGACTGAGGCCGGTCCATCCATCCATCCTTCTGTAACCAGCATGAAAAAAGAATCTAAAAAATGTCGTGTTCCATGCAATGAAGCCCTGAAGCTGACACTTATTTTAATCATTAACAGAGAAGGCAGGGACGCACATTGCCAAACTGAGAAAAGCTCAGGGGTAACCAGTTTGTTTCAGGAAAAGCTAGCTGTGCAGAAGGTTGGCAGTCTGGCTCTTATGGCACTCGGGATGCCACCTCTTCATCCAATTGTGCCACAGGCTCATGGGGTGGGCAGCCAGAGCTGCTCCACCCTCCCCATCCAATACTTTAATTTCAATCATTTAGATGGATGAACATACCAGACTAAAAACAACAAAATCATTGGTAGGGGGACGTGTGTGTGCTGAAAAATCAAAGTAGCAAAGATAGGGAGGAGCAGAGCTTGTCTCCCCAGCAGACACTCACCCCTGTTCCTAGAGGGGAATGTCTCTTCATACTTAAGAGGAGCCAGCACTGTATAGATGGACGTTCGGCGTATTAAGCCAGGGCTGGAGAGATCCAGGCTCGAGTCCCTGCTCAGACACAAAACTCAACGTGTGACCTTGAGCCAATCTCTCTCCCTCTGGATAAAATATAGGAGAACAGAACCAGGGGTGCAGCTCTGATGTCCAAGAAGGCTGGGATAGAAATAGCACAGAGGAGGAAAGTCTATGCGTGTCAGATTGCAACCCAGAGATTGCCTGCTTAACAGCTCTGCAGCAACAGATGGAGCTGCAGTTTCTTCAGTCCTTCTCTCCTTCCATGGGAAGAACTGCAGGGAAAGTCTTCAAGCCTTATCGGAGGCCTGGAAAGAGGGTGGGCGATAGGGACAGGGTACAGTGCAAGAGAAGAGCAGGCTGGATTCTCTTCATGTTGCTGCAGAAGAGGCAAGAGGCCAAAGGCACATTCCTTCAGAAGAGGAAGGCAGCAGTAGTGCTGAACAATAGTAGAAGAAGTCCTGCCTTTTACTGAGTCAGACTAGGGCTTTTTTTGTGACAGTGCTCACTGGTAATATGTGTGTGTGTGTATGGCCTTTGCAACTTGCCCACCAGTTAAGACATTCTACAGAGGCTAACTCTGTGTCCTCACCTCTCAGGTGACTGGCAACCAAAGAGAGGGCCTTTTCCGTAGGGGCACCTTGACTCCATAGTTCCCTTCACCACAGCAGCTTTATTGACAGGGATGAGGGAAGAACAGCATCTGGTCTTTTACTGCTGTTTTAAATCAGCAGCAGCCTTTAATTAGAAATCATTACAACTCTGTAATGAGCAGTTTGGTATATTTTACATGCACACGTTTAATGACTGATACTGGGAGGCACATTGGACATTTAAAAATGGAGAACACTGTTTATTACTTTAAACTTATTTATAAAAGCAAACACAGGGCCTGCAAATAATGCACCTATGGTCCTTTGTTTCTGGAGGCATTCCAGCAACTTTTTGTGGCATGCAAGTGGCAGCTGATATTTTGTTGTTGCTGCATGTGTGAAAGGACATGGAAAGCAACAACGTTCATATAGCAAGGTAAGGAAGGCCCAGACATCACAATACCATGCACAGGAACAAGCACAATTCACCAACACCTGCTTGCACTGGTGAGAAGGCACTCATACGGAGCCGGTTTGTAGAACTTGACAGCCTTGTGCAAAATGGTTGTGGTGTAGCACTGCCACCTGCTGGATATCCAACAGAACACTGGATGTGCTTCTCTAGCCTCGCCAAAGGTCAGCCTCTCCCCCACCCACCATCCTTTCTTTGATGACAACAAAGTCGTCTTCTTTGCAGCCATCTGGGCAAGTTTCATAGGGATGGTGTGTGCCTGTGAGCAAAGCAGCCCTGGTGGTCCTTCGGCTTGGCACTTGCGGAATGCGCAGGGGTTTCCATGATGTTTAAATGAGATTAACTGCCCCCGAAGCCACTAAAGGAGCAATCGTTTTGTACCGGATCAGGTGCTGAGAGTCTTCATCCAGGTCAATCACATATTCTCTGAAAGAGAAAACAAAGAAAAAACACTGGCTTAGGGCTACAATCCTGTTCCATCTTTCTCAGGAGCAAGCCCATGATGCACTGTGGGATTTAGCTGTAAGTTACAATATGTATGACTGGGCATGGTACATTTTCAGTTATTTAATTAATTCCATGTAGGGTTGTTAGATCCTCCCTGGCCACCGGTGGGGGATGGGGGTTAGGGTTGCTTGCCCTCTCCAGGTTAGGAAACTCCTGGAGATTTGGAGGTGGAGCCTAAGGAGGACAGGGACCTCAGTGAACATACATGAAGCTGCCTCTTACTGAATCGGACCCTTGGTCCATCAAAGTCAGTATTGTCTGCTCAGACTGGCAGCAGCTCTCCAGGGTCTTTCACATCACCTCCTGCCTCGTCCTTTTAACTGGAGATGTAAGGGATTGAACCTGGGACCTTCTGCATGCCAAGCAGATGCTCTGCCAGTGAGCCACAGTGGGGTACAGTGTCATAGAGTCCACCCTCCAATCATCCATTTTCTCCAGGGGAACTGATCTCTGTAGTCTGGAGATGAGCTGTAATTCTAGGGGATCCCCAGCCCCCCCCCCCCCTTGAAAAAAAACAGTTCCCTGCCTGATGGCAAACCCCCCCCCCCCAATTTGTAAGTCAGTCCTTTTCAGGTGGAGCCCTTTTAAGCTTTCATTTTTCCAACTAGGCACTCAAGATGTCACAGTCTACACTTGCCACAATGTCAAGCCTGAAGTACAGCTTAAACAGTGAGACTACGGTCATCATTACAGTCAAGATCCACGTAACCGGCAAGACCTCCTTGCTCAAGCATATGTTGAGCAGCCACCTAACAAAAACCGGAGCAGTGCTGGTGAGCCGCTCACAAGGACCAGGATGGGGGTGGGAGAAACTCTGGTGTGGTTCTCCCAGGAGATCTCTACATGCCACCGTGGGCCAGAAGGGGTTTAATGGGGAAGGGCACCGAGAACTCCAGCCACCCCTCCTGAGCGTGGAAACATTCAAAATGTCTTTCCTCGTGGTGCATCCGCACTGCCCGCAATTCAGAGCGGAAAGACAGTGTAGTATAGTGGTTAGAATAAAAACGGAAAGACCTGCCTTTAAAGCTTCCTGAGCAAGGTGAGGTCAGCCACTTATCTGAGTCTAACCTACCTCCACAAGGCTGCTGTGAGGGCAAAATGGAGGAGGGGAGAACAATGTTGTAAGCCACTTTGGACACCCACTGGGGACAAAAGTAGAGTATAAATAAATAAATAAATAAATAAATAAATGTCACCCTTTATACTCTGCTTCTTACCCCTAAGGAGGACCGGCAGGTAGCTTATGATATCGCTCTCACTTTATACTAAACAACTCCAGTCCCACTTTGATCTAGTGAAGCTGCCAAGCAGGTAAGCTGGAATGGCCAGCAAGATGAGCTGGGATGACCAAGGTAAGAGGTTCACCTCAAACACATTTTCTCATTTTTCACCTGCCCATCTGCAGCACAGAGATAAACAATGGCCCACCTAATAAGGCTGCTGTAAGGATTACCGAGAACACAGGCACGTTTCTGGCTGAGGCAAGTTTAGAACTGGGGGCTTCCCAACACATGCCAGGCACTAGTATGCTGATCAGCATCTGATGTCTCGGCTTTCACCACTTCATTGCAATTGTTTCCACGGCATGCTGATCTTAGTCAGTATAATACACATATATAATCCCAGTTCATCTTTGGAAGATTAACAGGAAGTCCTCGGAAAACTCAGAAGCCTGGCAGGATTCAAACTTAATCAAGGCAGAATGGAGCTGTTTGGTATAAACAGATTTGGATGATAACAGAAATAAGATGATTAACAATGCAATCCCAAGCAGAGTTGTACCCTTCCAAGTCCATTGAAATGAATGGGCTTAGACGAGATAACTCTACTTCGCACAGCACTGCAAGTAAATCAAAAGAGGACAGAAGCATCAAATACCCCGGGTCAGATTCTCCAAGGACACTGATGAAGCACAGAAAATTGATTCCGTAATTCACCAACGATGCAGGAAGAACACAGCCCATCAGGTGGGTGGAATCATAGCTGTATGTCTCCCTCAAATTACAATCCAGCCTACAGAGCCAGTGTGGTGCATTGGTTAAAGGGGCAGACCAGCATCCAGGCTCAAATCCCTGCTCTGCCATGGAACCTCCCTGGGTGACCTCGGGCCAGCCAAACTCTCAGCCTAACCCACTTCACAGGGCTGTTGTGAGGATAAAAGGGAGAAGACAATGATGTAACCCATTTTGGGTCCCCACTGGGGAGAAAAGCAGAGTATAAATGAACTAAATATAGGGCACTGTTGTACGAAGACCTTCCCATGGATCATCTTCTCCCCCTCCCCCATATTTTATTCACATACTTGTTCATTGACTCGGCAAGCACAGTTTTCAGTTATCTGTACAAACTCCACTTAGGAACCTGTGATCAGATCGAGTGACATTTTATTTAATGTCATGAACAGGCAACTAGGGACACAGGATTTGGACCAGGGCTGTGGTACTGGGGCAGGGGAAGGGTTAATCCCTTCCTGCATGCTGCTTCCCCAACAGAAACTGACCAGATGCCCACAGTGGCCCTCTCTTTCTGCCTTGCCATGACTAATCTACAAGCAGGTAGGGGGTTGCAGTACAAATAAGCTAAAAGAAATAGAACTACTGCAAGTATGCAATTAGTGGTTGTAATAATACTAGTCTTCCAAGCGAGTACAACATTACAAAATACACAGTAACAGCAACATTTTGTATTCCAGATAATATACAGATGGACGAAATTCCCCGGAGTTGGTGTTCCGTTTTTGATGACTTCCTCACACATCAAAACTCATAAAGAAGTGCCCTCACACAGTCACAAATATTCCAATGCAGGCTCAGATTTACACTTTGGTCTGTTATACAACAGGAATGAACACTACAAACATTTAGGACTGATGAAGAATCCATTTGGAATATTGCTGTTACTGTATATATTTTGTAATTTTGTACTCGCTTGGAAGACTAGTATTATTTCTTCTTGCCATGACTAATGGCAGCTGCAGAAGAGGAGCACACTCCATCAGGGAAGCAGCACAGGGGCAAAAGAGACACCCCTCCCCCCATTCTGATTACATGATCTAGATTCAGATTAGCCTCCCATTCCACCTACTGGCGGTCTTTAAGCAGCATCTGGACAAACAACTTATCAGGGATGCTCTAGGGCTGATCCTGCATTGGGCAGGGGGTTGGTCTAGAGGGCCTGTAAGGCTCCTTCCAACTCTGTGATTCTATACACATTAACCATTTTCACCCGGAGAACAAACATAGCTGCAGCATCCCCTTCCCTACCTTTGCTCATCTGTCTCCGGCTCCACCAAGATGTTCTCCTGCCTCTCCTTCACCCGCAGGAACACAAAGGAGTCCAGGTTCGGTTTGGCAACTGCAAAGAAAGACCGCAGAAGACCAGTCTGCTTCATGCCCCTGTAGTGGAGGGAGCTGTGGTGCCCGTGTGGCACGCATGCGGACGGTCTCCAGTACAGCCCCCGTTAAAGGATCTTGGGTAGCTGATGATTTTGGAGAAGTCTACTTGAGAATATTTGGATGGATGGATCAAAAGCAGTGTCACGATTTACTGGCAACGGGTCCACAGCTTAGGTGGTAGAGCACATGCTCTGCATGAAGAAGGACCCAGATTCAATCAGCTGAGCAGCCAGGGTGACAAAAGGCCTCTTTAAAGGACCCTGGAGAACCACCACTTGTGGGAGCTGGCTATACTGAGCCAGATGGGTCAGGCACCACAAAAGGCAACTTGCTCTGTGCTGGGTTCCACAGTGGGCAAGGAGGAGAGGATATACTTCATTCAATTCCAGCTTCTGCCAGGGTTCAGCTCTCAGCCCTAGCAGCTGTCCAGACATGCTGACCCGGACGCCTGTCTGTCAGATGATCAACCCCTAGTATTAAGGGAATATTCACTACCTAAATTCAGATTGCCAGTTTCTTGGAGCAGGGACACAACTATCTGCACACGCACAACTCTATAAGGATCTAGATGGGGCCAGATAAAGTCAGGCCTTGCTTACCTGCCTTCAGAAGGTCCACCTTCTGCAGGTTGGGAGGCATGTGCTTCAGAGCCATATTCCGGAAATGTGCCTCAGTGTTTGCCATGTACCTGCAAGCAAGGAGCAACAGCCTTGGTCTTTACCTCGGAAAGGAAAAGGCCTGGAAACAGAATGGCTGAAGCTGGCCAGTCACCAAACATGAGCAGAGAACACCCTGTGGAGGACTTGAGTCTTTGCACCACCTAATGTCGTGTAAAGTAAAGGTAAAGGTTCCCTTGCTCGAAAGCCAGTCGAATCCGACTCTAGGGTTGCGGTGCTCATCTCCGTTTCAAAGCCGAAGAGCCAGCGCTGTCCGAAGACGTTTCCGTGGTCATGTGGCCGGCATGACTAAACACCAAGGCGCACGGAACGCTGTTACCTTCCCACCGAAGTGGTCCCTATTTATCTACTTGCAATTTCTTGCTTTCGAACTGCTAGGTTGGCAGGAGCTGGAACTAGAGACGGGAGCCCACTCCGTCATGCGGCACCCGGGTCTCGAACTGCTGAACTACTGACCTTCCACAGCCTGCAGTTCAGCATCTTAACCACTTGAGCCACCGCAGCTCCTAATGTCGTGGATAGGACAACAAAAGATTGTCCACTTTTCTTGACTGGTCCAACTCCATGTCTTTAAAAGAGGAGCCCGATGCAGACACAGTAAGGAAGGAAACCTTTTCTTGGCAAGAAGATAAACCTTCACCCGATCAATTTCCCCATGCCGTGTTGCAGTTAAAGGCATAGATGTGGCACCTGTTAAAAGTTGGTCATAATGTAATTACTGTGCATGCTTAGCTATTTTGCATGCTTGTATTAATCACAGGGCAGGGTGGAAAGTTTGCAAGGCTCCCTGCACCCTAGATACCTTTGCTCAGAGACCACTCTGCCTCTTAACTGTCACCCAAGTCTCTCTTTATAAGGATTTTAGAAACCTGCTTCTTTTATTTAAAAAAGGAAGTTGTTTTGAATGCTGAATGGGAAGGAGTTCTGACTCAGAGGCAGATTATCTGCTTTGCATGCTGAAGGTCCCAGGTTCAATCCTTGGCATCGCTAGTTAAGAGGATCAAAGTAGTAGATGATGTGAAAAGACCTCTTCCAGAGGACCTAGAGAGCCAGTTGGAGTAGACAAGACTGACCTGGGCAGACTAGTGGTCTGACTCATGACAAGGCAGCTTTTTGTGTTCATGAATTTTGCTCTCTGTACTAATTTTAACATTTGCTGAGTGTCATGGTTTCATCCCCTAGACCCTTGGCTCTCACCCAGGCTGGAAGTTTGACTCATGCTCCCATGTGCAGCTGGCTGGGATGAAAGGTTTAAATTATTTCTACTTGCCTATCTGAAACAGCAGCTAGAACGGAAAAACATTTGAACAGAGTTCTCTGCTCTAATTGCCTTAATTGAAACTGCAATAATTTATCAACAATACAACAGCTTGCAAGATTATAACAACAATACAATAGCTATAATAGCTATTTTACCTTAAAGAAACATTTTCCTGTAGCTTACTCACAAGTAGGATGGATTCAACAAAAAGAAGCAAGAGAGCTAGAGATACAGAAGATACAACTCCTCTTCCAGTAAGTAAACAGAAGAAGATAAAGGATTATTTTGTAACCAAGGAGACTAAAGAAACCCTAGTTTTTAATATTCCTATATCAAACAGATATGCTCCTCTTGATCAACCTGCTACCCTGGAGTCCACTTTGAATACGCCTCCTGATTTAGCTACTCCAGAGTGTATCGTGGATACTCAAGCATTACAACAATTATCTACGAAAGCAGGGCTGCCTGACAACTTAGGGAAGGATTTATGTATGTTAACTGCAAAGACAGTTAAATGTATATTTGAGGCATTACGTGAAATAAGAAGCAACCTTGAAGGGATTACTAAAGTGATAGCTAAACTTGTGAGACCAGCGACACTTCCAAATGCAGCTGGCAATGCAGCTGATGTTTTACACACAGGCACGACTCCAAAAGATGACAGCATAGGACAAAAGCTAACTCATAGCAAGGGACTTTACAACTTGACTTTACAAGCTCACAAGGTCTGTATTACAGTGACCCACTACAGGGGTATGATGCCTAACTGGAAGTCTGTAAAACAGGCTGCTTTACATCTGAGATCCCTTTTGCCAGAGTACACTGCTGCAGTTGACCTAATCTCATTAGAAGTATTACCTAGTCCATACCATGCACAGAGATTACTGCTGAACTTCAAGACTTCCAAAATGCCCACATTGATCCTGAAATATAGGAGCTACTTGTCGTCAAAAGGAGTTCTACCAACTAGGGTTTTTGTCAACACCACCATCACTCCCTTGTGTCCTAAAGGAAGGTTCACAGGTTCTACAGTGACAGACATAAGGGCTTATGCCCATAAGTCACCAAGCGTTGACATGCACTTTAAAAGCACCTCAACTGGAACACCTATGGACATTGATAACAATAGAGGTTGCTCATTCCTGGAAAACTCAATTGAAGGGGACTTAATTAAATCCTTTCCAAAAATGCCTGAAGAGGAACAAACAGACATCATATAATGATTGGACTGGCTAAAAACCGAACTTTGGAAAGCTAAAGAAAATGAGACATCTCAAAGACTGCCCTTTGCTACAGAAATTGATACTGTGGCATCTAACTCAAGTGCTGCAGTTGAAATCCCTGCAACTAGACAACTGGAGGGAAATCCTAGAGATAGTCAGGGACGGCTTCCTTGTAAGCCAACAGGTGGACAAAGGGCTACTGGTGGGCTACCTGCAAATGGCTGTATATTCTTAGACCCTGAGGATAATCTAAATAAGATAGAACAAGAAGTCTGACAACTAAAGTTTCTGTCTTGGAAGCTTGGGGGGTGGCGAAATAAGCTTCACGACCCTGATTTTTTAGATTTCCTGCAAGGTTATCATATAATTTTTCTTCAGGAAACTTGGAGTCAGGATCTAGAACAGCTCTCTATTAAGGGTTACAGGTCTTTACAAGTTCCCGCAGTTAAAATTCATTCAAAAGGCCGGGGTTCTGGAGGTCTGGCAATTTTCATAACAGTAGATCTGGATGTTGAACTACAAGTACTTGCCTACCTTCAACTGCACCATGCAGACGTTTTACTTAGTTATCTGTCCCTGTGCCTTTAACAGCACCTTGATCTGAAGACAGCTGGTCTTTATTTCTATAACATGAAAAGCTTGTCTATTTCCGCAGATTAAGTGGTTGTTAAACTCACAGGAGCCAGCCAGGCCCAGAATTCTCTGGTCAGCTGGCAATCCAAGAGAACATTCACAACTGTACAAAGGTGACTGATGAATTTTGGAATTGCAGTGATGCACGCATGTTAAGCTATGTGTGATTCATTTACACGGGTAGTATACGCTGTGACAGTACACTTGTGCATTCTGTTTGTGGGCATACAGCAGACTTTTAGACTCACCCTTCTACCCCCCCCCCAGCCATCCCTGCCCCCTGTTTGCTAACTGTTACATTAACCTTTGCTGGGACTTGTTAGGTAGATTACAGCGCCCTCCAGCCTCCTGAGCGACTAGAGCCGTGCTCTGAGAGAGAGGGGCAGCAAAAAACGCAAGATGAAGGCCAAGATGTTTTCAGCTAGATTCAAGTCCAGTAGAACCTTAGAGACCCACATGATTTTGGAAGCACAAGCTTTCCAGAGTTCAAAGCTCCCTTGCTCAGAAACGAGATCTTTGGCTCTCGGAAGCTCACACCCTGAACATCTTGTTGGCCTCCAAGGTGCGACAGGGCTCAAATCTGGCTGTTCTACTGCAGGCCAAGAGGGCTACCCTCTGAAGACATTTTCAGGGTCACAGGAACATGAGAACCAGGGGTCATTTCCTGCAGGAGCGCACAGGAGCGGAGCTCCGGCAGTAAAGAGCCCAGGGGGCGGGCACATGCAACAAGCCCCACCCCCTGCTCCCAGCAGTCCTCAGTCAGAGCAAGAAGCAGCCAGGTAAGTTGCAGAAGCCCCCCCCCCCTCTGCAAGAACAGATCTGCACGTTCCCCCCCCCCCAGCAATAGCTACCAATCCAAAACAGTCCAGTGGAGCCTGAGCGGTGGGTGTTGCTTTCTGGCACACTTCCAGTGATGTCAGGGGTGTGTGGCATATGCAAATGAGTTATGCAAATGAGCTCCTGCACCTCTTTTCCTACTAAACGACCCCTGATGAGAACACAAAGATGATGCACACTGCATCAGGTTAATCAAATAAAGAAATTTGCTTTTGGCCATCTTCTCGCTTTCTTTGACTAGATTCCAGGAATCCCACTTCTGTCAGAGGTCTGATTCAGAACTGCACATTTTGTGCAAAACCGCTTGCCAGCAACTGCCCTGTGGCAACCCCAGTTACGTACACAGTTTACACTCTTGCTAGCTTTGTAGTGCATGCATCTTTGTCCTTTATTTCAATAGAAATAAAGGGCAAAGCGACCCCCCCCAATCATCCCCCTTCCCCATCTACCTACTCTTTAGCAAAGGCAAACTCTTCCGGGGAAAGGATGGATGGGTCCCCCTCGGCCCGAGTCTTCTCCTTCTCCAAGATGTGGGGGAAATATTTCTCAATCTGCAAAAGGAAAGACACAGCATAAGAACTGCAGAGCCATCTGTATACGGTAAAGTGCTCTAAAGAACTGCAACAGTGATGGCTGCCAAGGACCGGAGAAAGGCTCTAATGAAACCCAAGACTGATCCAAAACCTCCCCAGGAATGTGAATCTTACAAAATGCTCCTGCCCAGCAAAGCATCCCCTCAGATGATGGTGCCTCCCATTCTCCAGGCTTAACGTGTGCCACAGCAGGGCACAAGGAAGGCAGAGAGCCCCGGAAGCAGCCACATTAGCCAGGTCCCCCAGCACAGCAGATGCCATTGTCCAAAAGCCACTCAGCACATCACTTCCTTCTACTCCACTACTTACGGCTCAACTATGCAAGATCTATGCATGGGAATTCCATCAGCATACACTTGATCAGTGGGAAAAACAATTGCTCCCCCAGGGCTGCCTCAGGTCAGGCAGAAAACGTGCCAGGGAGGACTTAAAGCCCTGCTCCCCCCAGATCACAATCCTGTTATGAATCAGATCCCACACACTTGGTTTTCAGAGGAAAAACTCAGTTCTGATGAGTAACGCCACTTCAGTTGTGAACAGGGCAATCCATCTATAGCAAATGGCTTTCAGACGACACCTTGAGGAAATCTAGGGCTTGTCAAAATGTTCTCACAACTCCTCATTGAGAAGGCCAGTAAGTGTGGACAACATTCTCAGAAAGGCTTGTCATTATTTATTTAAAATATTTATACCCTGTCTTTCAGCTAAAGCATTCCCACTGTGTCTAACCAAAAATTCAATTCCAAAATTCAATGAAAAATACAGAGATACAAAGCAGCCAACAGGTTCCCAACGCCATTCAGTCTCCTCCGCCCGCCCTCCAAAGGATCAGAACTGTTTTGCATTCACTGTGACTGAATTACATCTGTTTATTACAGACTGTTTCCTTTTACACAGAATGCAGCCGTTGCAGTTTATAGGAAGCAAACAGGACAGAGAGTGGCTCTTTAAAACCCTTTTTACTTCAAGCCATTTTTTTCTTACTGAGAATAACGTCCCATGAGTTGCTTTCTTGACCGACCATTACAAAAAGGATGCAAGAACTAGATAAGAACATTATACTTCCACCCTAAAAAGAAGAGAGAAAGGGACCCCCCCCATGGTGTTCCTCAAGAAAGGTGCTTCAAAGTCAAAGGGTCACCTGCCCGCCACTCTTCTCCTCTCTAACAGAGCACACCCAGAGCAGGACTTCATAGACCACCTCCACAGTCGTCTCCTGCAACATGCAGCTTCAGAGCCCATTTCAGGCCTGGCAGATGCCCCGTGGAAACTGAAAACATGCCCTAGGAAGGCATCCCAGAATTCTCTGCAACACAACAAAAGCCAGAATTGCTTTCAGAATCCTATCCAGAACTGAATAGATGCCACAGGAGAGAGTTCTGGAAAGGGAGGTTGGGACCATTTAACAATTCTTGCTGGGAAATACAAGAAGTCTCTGGAGAGATAATGGGGCAGGTGGCTGGTCCCTGAAGAGGCAGCCCCTGGCAAGCCTCCATGCAGAACAGCTTGTTACATATGCCAAATGGGTCAAAAGGGGGCCAATACCTTTCGGAGCCGGCAGCGCAAATAGCTACTGAGGACGTAGCGGATCCTCTCGACCTCCATGCGGTGAATGCCAACTTTCAGATCGCCTCCCTTGGCACGTCCCAGGTTCTCTTCCTGCAAGAGAAGAGCCAAGGGGCTTTAATTACAGAAAGGGCTTCAACAGTCACCAAGCATTTTTTGTTCGTTTGTCTCTGCTGAGGGAGAACCCAGGACCAGCATCGCATGAAGTTGCCTAACTTTTCCATTCACGGGCTGGGTCAGGATTTTAGAGGATTTCCCCAAGACTTAAATCCTTTAACAGGAGATGCTTGGGATTGAACCTGGGATCTTCTGCACATCAAACACATGCTGTGCCTCTGAGCCATGACCCCTTCCTGGTCATCACCACTGTTCCCTCTAAGCTGAGTTAGTGTGAGCTAGCTCACAGTTTTTTAGCTTCTGGCTCACACATTTTTGTCTTAGCTCAGGAAGGAGGGCTCCAGAGCAAACTAATTTATGCAGAAGCCAAATTGCTCGCTCACAACTTTAATGCCTGTAGCTCACAAAGTAGAATTTTTGCTCACAAGACTCTCCACAGCTTAGAGGGAACATTGGTCATCACTGTTGTCAAGGTGAACCAAACACGATATCAGGAATACAGCACTTCATGATGCAGTAGGCATGTTCACAAAAACTGAGGTAAAAATAAATTCCATAGTCCTCCAAGGTGCCACAAGACTCTTATTTTGGCAGGAGCAATCTATATGTCCTGCTCAGTCAGGATGAATTGTACAGATTATGCCACCTTGAAAGGAATGCAAAGTCTGGAAAGGACTGGATTAGCAGGAAGCAACGAAAGAACCTGGGCACCAGGCAAGAGTACAGTTGTTTCCATGGGCAACCTGGTGCTCTCTCTCTCTCTCTTATCCCCACACCCACTTTCACAGTCTTCACTGGAATATTTTATCTGTGCTCCCGCCAACATGTTGATTTTATGCTGCCTTCTGTCTGAAAATTGTATTAGGCTCATTGTGAGGATAAAAGGGGAGAACACGTAACAATGCATGTCACCCATAGGCCTTGGAGGAAGGGCAAGAGTTATATGTATTATATAAATAAAAGCACATTTTTATTCCTCCCTTCCTCCAAGGAGCTGAAGACGGCATTTGTGGTTCTTTCCTCTTCTATAACCCTGTGAGGCAGGCTAGATTCAGAGAGTGTGGCTGGCTCCACATCACACAGTGAGCTTTATGGAAGTGTCAGTTTGCATCTCTTCAGTCTTAGCCTGGCACTCCAATCCCTGCACCACATTCCTGAGTTGTCTCCCCATGCACCCGCCAGCCACTTGGCCGCCTCCCCCCAGTTCAGTACCATGTGTTCCAGCTGCTCCACAACACATTCGACAATCTCTGACTTGCTCTCCAGCAACTCTGGGGCAAACTTCTCATTCATCCAGGCCTGGAAAGTCAAAGTGGACAGTGAGGATCAAGGATGCTCCATTTTCAGGGCTCTCCCCTCAGTCTTCAGAATAGCATCACCACAGCAGGAAAGATGCTGCAAGACAAGCTCCCAGACTTGCAGGCTTCCAATATCAGAATCCTCCCCCAATTCTAAGGAACCAATCTTTCTTGCAGTACTTTCTTGCAAGACATCCTCTCTCCAGAGCTTCAGGGCATGACACTTTATGCTGATTATTTACTCCTCCATCCACTTCAGCCCTTTCTGTTCTACTCTCAGCAGGCGTTTCTTATACTGTCAGTGTTTGCTTATTGGAGACAGGGAACATGGTACTCTAATCTGCATTCACAACTGAAAGCACCAGGGAATGGTTGCAAAATACCCCGTGTAAAGAGACAAAGATGCAAGTACCATGTAGGTTGTAACACATGACCATTATATACATTTGGATTTTCGAGGGACACATGGTGTGCATAGAGCAGGAAATGCATAGCCAGTTGGTAGTTCTTACTTTGTGGCCTTGCAACAATGAACACACATGTGTAATCATCACACATGGCACTCTGTAAAAAAAACCTGTACAACCCTTACAGCCTGGAACTATCTTCAATACAAGACTTTATAATACATGGCAAAATCCTTGAAGAGGGAAGGAACTATGCTATCCCAAAAAGCATTCATTTCTGCTCCGGAAAAGATGCAAAAAAGGGCAATCAAAATCATCAGTGGGTTGCAGCACCTTTCCTGCAAAGAAAAGCTAATGAGAGTTCAGTGCTTATGGTGACAGATGTTTACAAAATGTGACGGCACAGTGTGGGAGGGTAAAAAGAAGGAAAGTTTTCTTCTCTGTCTCCCATAATACTAGATCTTGGTGTCACCCAAGGAAGTTGATGGGCAGCAAAGAGATACAGAACTACTTTTTCGAGATGTAGGAAGTGCTTCTTCACACAATGTATGATTAATTTGTGGAACTCTATGGCATAAGATGTAGCATACAGATGGTGTTAAAAGGGACATAGGCAAAAGCATAGTGCCTTGTCAACAGCCATAACAATTAAGCAGAACCATCAGGGTCAGAGAAAGTTCCAAGAACAGAGATGTTCGTCTTTATGAGGTCTTTACCATTTTAAAAAATTACTGTTTATCAACAACTATTGAGCATTCTTTTAAAACAGAAATGTGGCCTAGAAGTTAGCTGACAAAACAACAACAATCCGGTTGGCCACAATGGAGAGGAGGCTGCTAGAGCTGAAATGCTCTTGGGGAGAAAACCATGTTGTACATGCAAGCACCAGTACATGGAAGTTTCCCCAACAGGGCTCATGGCAGCAGCTCCCCTGTGCCATTTAGAGCCATTTAACACTGAGGAAACGGTGCAAACCACCAGGGTCGCAATCCCAACTGGGCCCCACACAACTAGGAGTTAAGTTTCAGCACAGAACTCCCCACCCACATCCCGTTCAATGGGGCCTCGGGTGGACTCACCACGAGCACAGCCTGCAGTTAGGTCGAGCTGGGCAGGTGAGCTGGCTTGTACCAAGAGAGGGGCACGAGCTGCCGTCGATACTTTCCAAACAGAAGTCTTTCCTATTCTCAAACCAACCTTTGAGTCCAGCGTGGCACCCTTAAGACCAGCAAAGTTTTAGTCAAGGTATAAGTTTTCGTGTGCAGAAGTGTGCATGCACACGAAAGCTCATACCTTGAGTAAAACTTTGTTGGTCTTAAAAGGTGCCACGCTGGACTCCCACTTTGTTCTGCTGCTTCCGACCAACACGGCCGCCCGACCTGAATCAACTCCAGCTGTACACCCGGGCAGTAACTCCAAGCGACGAAAGGGGAGTTACTTCTGAATAGACATGGAACTGCAGTGGTAACGCTTAAAACCCTACAAATGAACGAGAATATTTTAAACGGAGGGAGCCCGATCTGTATTTAAATGCCTAGAGACACGGCGGCGCGTTCCCAGACTACCCTAGGCTGCCCCGTCGTCCCGATTCCCCGTCCCGCCTCCTCCCGTTTTCTGAGCGCAGGACTCAGGCGCCGACCCGACCTGTTCCAGGCTGCGGATGAGCTGGGCCGGGGTCAGCACCACCTCTTCGCTCCCAGCCTCCGAGCCCTCCTGGTCCGGCTCCTCCGCCATCGCTGGCCGAAAGCTCCGCCGTCTCCCGCCACCAGTTCCAACGCAGTGACGTCGACACCGCGCGCCGCACCGAGGCGATCCGCCCCTCATGAATATGCATGAGGATTGGTCTTTTCCCGCCTCTTAAAAAGGCGGCGTCGCGTTTGGGAGCAGATTCCGGCGCTTGAGTGCTTGACTTTGCACTTTGTCTGTTCTGTAAAGGGTTCAGGTTTGTATCGCCACAGCGGCCGAAAGCTCCGCCGTCTCCCGCCACCCGTTCCAACGCAGTGACGTCGACATCGCGCGCCGCACCGAGGCGAACCGCCCCTTATGAATATGCATGAGGATTGGCCTTTTCCCGCCTGCCTCTTAAAAAGGCGGCGTCGCGTTTGGGAGCCGATTCCGGCGATCGAGTGCTTGACTTTGCACTTTGTCTGTTCTGTAAAGGGTTCAGGTTTGTATCGCCGCAGCAACCCTGCGAAGTTGGTTAAACTGAAGGGAAATGATTGAACCAGTGAGCTTCATCATCATGGCAGATAGGGATTCTAAACCCAGATCTTCCCGAGTTGTAGTAGCCCGACACTCGAAGCAACAGCGCATTTATTATATTTTAATCCCTCCCCTCCTCCACAAACCTTAGCGGCTGTATACATGGTTCTCCCGTCTTCCATTTTATCCTTCCAGTAATTAAATGTCTAGTGGGCACTTTAAAGACTAAAAAAAAAAAATCAGCATAGGTATTTGTAAACCAAAGCTCACTTCCTCTGATGCATTGGAGTGTACATGTGAGGAACTGAACTGTGACTCATGCAAACGTGTGTTGCCATAATTTCCACCATATTCAACGTGTCACAGGCCTGTTTAATCTTACCACAAAAGATTAACACAACTATCCCACTGGAACTTTTTTCTCATGAAGTAAATTAGGCTGAGAAATAATGGCTAGTCCAAAGCCACCCAGTGATTTTCATGGCTTTCAAACTGGGATTTGAATATGAACTTCCCCAGTCATATTACAACAATAGCCACTACAATAGATTCAGATGGGTAGCTGTGTTTGTCTGAAGCAATAGAACAAAGTTTGAGTCCAGTGACACCTTTAAGACCAATCAAGTTTGAAGTGTGCATGCACATGCAAGCTTATACCCAGCATTAAACTTTGTTGGTCTTAAAGGTTCCACTGGACCCAAACTTTGTTCAATAGCCACTACAGCATATCATACAAATGCTATTTGTGCTGTTAACAATGGCAAATCCCATTTTCCCCACTTCCCCAGGTCAGTTGTGACTTTAGCAGCTGCATGATAGGCATCCAACAGGTAAAGCATGACCCATAATTGCATTTTCAGGACTGTGGAAAGTTCAGCTTTTTGCATTGTTGTGCAGGTGTTAAAGACACAGGGAAACAAAACCCCAAACAGGAAGACTGCCACCCTAGCACTGTCAGCAGAGGATGCCACAGCAAGAAGATATGCCCCAAGATTCCTTGAAGTGTTTCTACAGATTCTACTTCACTAAGTACCTTTGGAAATTCTGCTGCTCTATTCAGGCAGGGGGTATCACAGGGATGGCTCTGCCACTGACTACAGGTGCTGTCCCATAGACCCCTTTACATGTATACATGGGTGTTTAAAGACATGTGCATGCACATATGCCAGCAACACCTGTGTGTAGATACAGTATACATATTTGCCATAGATTGCACTGATGCATGTCAGGATACTAGACTATGTATTGCTCACATGTAGCCATATATTTAATCTTATGATAACTTCTCCCACTTTTCCTAAATTAAACACTGAAATTATTTTTTTATCACCATCAAAATGTAAAGACATGCATCCAACCCCAAGGTCAGAAGATTGTAGGACTAGGTACCAATGCTCCCTCTAAGCTGTGGAGTCTTGTGAGCAAAATTGTACTTTGTGAGCTACTGGCATTAAAATTGTGAGCAGGTGATTTGGCAACTGCATAAATTAGTTTGCTCTAGAGCAGTGTTCCCTCTAAGCTGAGCTAGTGTGAGTTCGCTCACAGTTTTTTAGCTTCCGGCTCACACATTTATTGTCTCAGCTCAGGAAGGAGGGCTCCAGAGCAAAAGCCGCCTCGCTTCCGGCCCTCATTCAGCCAGGAGGAGGCAGGAGAAGAGGGAGGGTAAGTTGCTTCCTCCCTGCCTCTCCCCACCCCTGCCTGCCTGGGGCCAGGGAGGGCCTTGGCGGGGCTTCCTTGCACTCCCGCCGGCTTTGCAGGTCCACCGCCGGGCCCCTCATCGGGCTTGGCAGTGGAGCTACAAGGCCGGCGGCGGCCGGGACCATTGGGGGTGGGGTGTGTGGCCTTATGACACACTTCCGGTGATGTCAGGGGGTGTGGCCTTATGACATACTTCCGGTGATGTCAGGGTCTGTGGCATAAGCTAATGAGTTATGCTAATGAGTTCCCCTAGCTCTTTTTCTACAAAACGACCCCTGGTGGCTAGTGACCTTCAACGCAAGCTCCAGTAAGTTTAGCAAGCAACTCCTGTACTCGAACATACTAGACTGTCTTTTTTTGGCATAGGCCCCAAAATCTGATCACTGACTCCTCCCCAGCCCTGACTGCAGCAGGCTAGTGGCACAGCCCTCACAGAGCAGTGCAAAATGCAAGTATGAGGTTACAAGTTTGACTGCATGTTTAAGAAGTCCTGCCTGGGGAAAGCTACCACAACAGGTAACAAAGTTCTGCCCCAGCCTTTCCCCAGCATACTGTTCATATGCAGCATGATTGTTTTACAGACTGAAGTCATACAATCTTTCACCTGCATGTTGAACTGTGGCTTCAGTGCTAAATAGGCTGTGCTGGGTAATTTTTCTGGGTGCATTGACAGCTCTGTTTTGTAGTTAGTATGGTGTGTATGCATATACATTATTACTGTCCTCTGCTCAGAATTCTGAGCAGATTCCCCTTGCATTTAAAGGGAGCACTTAAGAGTCTAGGGTTGCCAACCTCCAGGTGGGGCCTGGAAATATCCAGGAATTACAACTGGTTTTCAGACTATAAAGACCAGTTCCCTGAGAGAAAATGGCAATTTTGGAGGGCGGACTCTGTGGCATTATATACTACTGAGATCCCACCCTCCCTGGTCTGCACCACCAAACATTCAGGAATTACTCAACTCAGTTGGCAACCCTATGAAAGTTCCAGGATGCCAAATTCTACCAAGACACTGTAAATACACAGTCCTGTCCAATATGTATGTAGGTTACACAGCCTGTTATAAGAAGCAAAACCAGGATCAATCCTATACCCCAGCTTGATTTGTAGAGGATATCCTAAATTCCTACAAAACACCATTTTCAATTGTGGAACAAAGAAATTGCAGTATTCAAGTCACTGATAGCAAATGACAGTTTATTTAAGAAAAAACATTACTAATCCATTCATTAGTTTCTGGAAAAAAATGATTGTAACGGGTGCAAAAGGCAAAACACTGTTACTGATTAGAAAAAACAAGTATTTATACAATTAAAATATTGAACAGATTTCTAGAGGGGAAAGGAAAGAAACCAGCAAGGAGCAGGAATTGAAGAGTAATTAGCTTGAAGACCTTGATCTAGTATTGGCATCTCTTGTATCACTTATAGGTCAAATACTCTGTTTTGAAAGCTCTCTTGTTTGAGAGCTCTCTTGTTTGAGAAGTCTGTTAGGACTTGGTGACTCCAAGCAGCAGAGTGACCCTGCTAGCTTCTATTCAAGCTTGTACACCAAAGCACCCAGGGAGAGGGAATGAACAAAAAAGGAAGAACACAAAATATATCAAACCAACTTGATTCACCAGAAGGTATTTACTCCAAAGACTAATGTCCCATATGTTTTCACAAGCATTTCTGGAGGAATGTTTGAATGCAAGTGGAAGTCCTACCATGTATTGCAGAGACATACTTTTCAGCAGTTTGTGGGAGGAGATGAAGCGCTATCCGTACACCATTTCTAGTTCAGTTACCAGCTTGCCCTAAAAACTTATAACAAAGTTGAGAAAACCATTTATTACCTATTTGACACATTCAACACCAAGAAGGGGTGGAGAGCACGGGTGGTTACATTTACTGGTACAGCATCCATTTGAGTCATCGCACATCCTCACATCTAACAAAAGAAGCAATGGACAGTCTGCACTCTCAGGTCTGCAAAGACGAAGCATGAGGCTCAAGTGTTCCAAAGATTACACCAGCTCTTATGTAAGCGTTAAGGTAGCCCTTTGCATTAGTTTTTTTCTTGCCAACCTTCAACTCCTTTGTCTTGAGGCATTTTGAACAACTGAGGTACACCATCCTGAGGCTCAAGTGAGTGAAGTCGCATTTTCAGAAGCTCAGTTGCTTAGGCGGTTTGCAGCTGCCACGTCGTGAATGCAGCAGACAACAGAAACCCCCCCCCCAACAAAACCCAGCACCCACAGAGGAACTATGGTGTTCTCAAGAGATTCTTTACAGATTCCACGCAGGTTGATCAGAGCTGCTGGCTTCAACGGAGAAGTCTAGTGATTTGGACAACATCACCACTTAAGGCTTACCATAATGACACAAAATGGATGCTGGCCAGCCCAGCAGGTAGCTTCTGAGGGAGCAGGATTTCAAGAAGTCAGTCCATGTGGTAGATGGCACCGTAGATTTGGCGGTGACAGAGAGGAATGATGCATCAAGAGCGGAAGTAGGGGAACTATCGAACACACTGGACCCTAAAAAAGAAAAGAAAAACACAAGGCTAATGGATGATTCAAAGTGTGCTGTACATTTTAAAAACAATTCTTCTCTAGACTCTCAAAGAAGAAGGCAACATATTCATTGATCAAAAGTACTTCCACTCGTGACCGCTACAGGAGTCTACAGGAGCCTGCTTCTCCAAAAGTGACCCTTCCTACCTTCAGTGACAATACTAGCCAACCCCCTCCAATTGTGCATTTGGAGAACGATTAGGGTAAGTTGTGGCAATAAGGAACATGGCTCTCAGCACCTTCTCTTAAGAAGTTTACCCTTTATGGAATGCTACCATTTTAAAACCGAAGCCTAGAAAAGAACACCTCTGGCTTCTGCACCCATCTGTCACACTGTTTGAGCCAAGTTCCATCAATACCTCCTTATATAAGAAGGTGGCTAATGTTCTCTTAAGCTCACTCAATAAGCCAGTAAAGATCTCTCTCCACGTGACTGCTGTAAGACATGGAACTCTGCCAGAGACTGAAGAGCCTCCCTAACCCCTAATCCCTGTCCCTATACCATCATCCACAAGAAAATGCTTTGTACTCATGAAACCCTGCCAATTTTGTTATGATTTGTTCTAGCCTTTGAGTTAATGGATGAATAGAGTAGCCTCTCTCCAAGAACACAGATGTCAGCCATCCCACCTTAAATTACATTACAGGCAAGTAAAACCTCAGTTTAAGAGAGCTACCCAACAAATGCCCAGGGCTTGTATCCATAAATCAGGGACCGGCCTACCTGAGGGACTGCCTTTCCCCGTATGTTCCCCAGAGAGCACTGCGATCAGGATCCCAAAACCGCCTGGACCTCCCCGGCCCTAAGGAAGTCAGGTTGATAGTAACCAGGATGAGGGCTTTTTCGTTTGTAGCTCTGTCCTACTGGAACGAGCTCCCTGCCGAGATCAGGGCCCTGCGGGACTTGTCACAGTTCCACAGGGCCGTGAAAACAGAACTTTTTAGGCAGGCGTTCCGATAGGAGCAACGTCTTACCAGCAGCGCCCTGTGTGAACTCTGATCCAATACGACCTAACGCGGTGGCACCGCTGATTGTTTCCCTAAATTGCACTTTAGTTTTATCGCCATCTAATGAATGTTTTATATTGACTGGTTGTGTTTTAACGGATGTCTTATATTTTTATTGTGAATGTATACTGCTTGTCAGTTTTTGGAAGCCGCCCTGAGCCTGCCTGGCGGGGAGGGTGGGGTAAAAGTGAAATAAATAAACAAATTCTATATCAATTTGATAAGCAACAGCTCCCCAAACTCTCCATTTGGGTGTCCAACACCTATCGCAAGTGATTCATTACAGGAAACATATGTAGCAGGAAATCACTGAGAACAAGTTACAAGACCACTGAGAAGCTCAAAGAGCTTGGAAAGTCCATTCCCTCATGCTTGGGCACCCACACTATATTATTCAACATGAACTCTCTCAACAGTTTCCAGACTTGTGGTGGAAGGAACAGGAGGAGACTGGGAGCAGGCTTTGGAAGCCAGAGAGTTTACAAGGCTTCTCTTCCTTTGACATTATCTTTTTGAAGATCTTTGGAATGCTACACTGAACTAAAATATATGTGCAATTAATTAAGCCCTCCAGAAGTTTAGCGTCAGTCCACCTCCCTCCAGTTCAGGCATTTCATGGTTGTTTGAACATCAACAGTGTAGGCGCTTCATGTGTGTAATTGCTCAAAATTCCCAGAAAACATTAGCACTAGCAGCTGACAAATGAGTCATATCTAATGGATTGTGCCAAACAGATGTGGCTGCAAGAGGAAAAAATGCACTTGAACTATTGAGAACAGCAGCCATCTTCCTCCTGAGTGTTAACAGATTAGCTGGACATCAGCAAATGATTTTTTTTTTTTAATTATAAACTGCTCTGAATTCACCCAAAAGATACATGCTGGTGCCAAGGACAGCCATAAGCAAATATTCTCCTCCAGGGGACTCATGAGCATTTTGGACACAAATTGCTTGCAGAACCACCAAAATTAAGCAGGATTAGCCTCTTGTTAAGTTATTAAATGAAAGTAATGAAATGGCAAAATTAGCCTTTAATGTGGAAAGGGAAGGAGTTCCAGAGTTTTCCCACTTTTGCATACATCTTTCATTAAGCTCCCAAGGCAGAAATAATATCATGGAGGAAATTGTTAAAGTGACTATTTAGCCCCTGTGTAGGACAGACCAGGACTCTTGGCTGCCAACTTTTTTGTGGTCAAGTCGCACTGCCACCAGCTGACCCACAAAGCCTCTGCAGCGAAACTGGAGGTAGGAGTGATGTGTTGCTTCCAGGATCTGTACCACAAAGGGTTTCCTATGGCTCTCACTTCTAGTTCCCACCAGCATCTTTCATATATTTATTTTCTTTACTGCTTTTGTAACTGGAGTCATAAACAGCAAAGCTTTCATATATTGCACCAACCTTTTTCCATATATCAGGCATAGTTTTCACACTGGGATGACACTAAATGGATTAGAGGTTACCATCTGTCTATCCCCCAAACTGTATACAATCCTGCTCCCTTGTATGCCATTCAAATATAACACTTGGATTTAGCAACATTAAAAGCTGGATTTTAATAACATTTAGGGCCATATGAGATAAATCACAATACTATACATATCAGCTCCTTCTGCAAATATTTACCTTGGATGCCACAGGCTTATCTTCCACTACTCACACCTCTGTCTTCATAAATGGTAATTTCAATCTGCATTGTAGGGTTGTTAAAGAAACAGACTGCAGATAAGTCAGCAGTTTAAAAAGAGCAAGATAATAGAGAAGGTTCCTATACCACACTTCTAGTTAAGGGATAATCCTTGTTTCTTTGAGCCAGCTCACATGCTATGCTCTTGGATTCCTGAAGGGAGCAACATTGTTCCAATCTGCTGTTCCTTACAGGCAGAGAACAGTGGGAAGAACTTAAGAACTAACATGTGTTTCACCTTATTCCCAGGAAAGAAAGAGTTCCTGTTTCAGACTGACTTTCAACAGGATTAAATCCATGCCACAGGGAAGGGATTGTTCATCAGGCTCTTTCATACCTTGTGTAGCTCATTAGACAGCAAAAGGAAGCTTTCTCCCTTTCCCCCAAGATTTCAAACAGGCACAGCAAAGACGGCTTACCTGTGGATGCTCATCAGAAGAAGGAAACACATAAATCCAACTCCATGCACAGCCATGAGAAAAAGAGGACCTATAGTACAACATGCCTTTTTCGCTGGTTTTGTTCTTCAACTGACAGAACAAAAATCTCTGCTTACACCTAGTCAGGAACCCACATACCTAAGGGACCGCCTTTCCCTGTAAGTTCCCCAGAGAGCACTGCAGTCGGGGACCCAGAATCAGCTGGCCCTCCCGGGTCCTAAGGACGCTAGGCTGTCAACAACCAGGGCCAGGGCCTTTTTGGTGGTGGCCCCTGCATGGTGGAATGAGCTCCTGGAGGAGATCAGGGCCCTGCGAGACTTTTGCAGTTCTGCAGGGCCTGTAAAACAGAGCTCTTCCACCAGGCTTTTGGGAGCCGCCACCACCAATGAAGAACATCAGTTGGTTAAAAGAGAGAGGGCCCTGGACCCTGAAAACGTCCATCAACAGCCTTAAAGAACAGCAAACCCTGCAGGGACATCCAACTAACACTGAGAGCTGACTGCGAGCATTCTAGACTGGCTGAAAAAGCTATATGACTATTAAGAAATACTAGCACTTTATTGTGATTTTATATTTGTTTTAACTATAACTATGTTCTAATGTAATTATTTTTATGTGAGCCACCCTGAGCCAGCTTTGACCGGGAGGGCGGGGTAAAAATCTGAAAAATAAATAAATAAATCAATTAATCTGCACACTTTTTTGAACAACTAACTAGGCAATTCTTGCAGTGAAGATATTCCATTGCAGGCTGCTGAAACGCACTGGCAGGCAGTGTTGCCTGCTATGCACAGAACATCTTCCCCAATCCAGCTAGCCAATGGATCTGAAGCATCCCACAATCCCCCATTTTTTGAAAAACAGAGTTGTCATTTCTATTGGGAAATTAACTTAGCATCTGTGTTGTCCCTTGAAGACTAATACAATATTTACACAGAAATATGAACTGAAATAATTTTACCCTGATGTAGTAGAAAAGAGCAAGTGTCCAGTAGCACCTTAAAGACTAACAAAATCTGTGGCAGGGTAGGAGCTTTCATGAGCCATAGCGAAGTGAGCAGTGACTCACAAAAGCTCATACCCTGCCACAATGTTTGCTAGTCTTTAAGGTGCTACTGGACGCTTGCCCTTTTCTGCTGCTACAGACAGACTAACACAGCTACCCATCTTTTACCCTGATGCATTATGCTTCAGGAAAAGTCCATCATTTGTTTTAGTAATGTGGTCTCTTTTAGAGTCTTGAAGACTGAGCTATGATACATTTCTGAGGACAATACATAAAGATCAAGAAACTATTGAAAAATGATACAACTCTTAGTCCTCTCTCAATTGGGTCAGTCAGGAGGAGTCCCTGTGGGGCGTAGATCTTTTCATTTTGTTCCTGAATGTACTTGGCAATTTTCTTCAGAACCTGGAAAAAGAAAAAAACCTATAATATTTGCATCAGTTCCATCATCATCGATATATCGAAGTCTTAACATTGCCAAATCTATGGATACTTAAATCCAGAGACTAGAGCTATGAACAGACAAAACAGATCTTTCTACAAACCTAAGGAAAGCCATAGGTTTGGAGAAAAATCTGCAACTGAAACATAATTATACTGGAGGGATAAGTCACCCAAATAATTAAAGCAGCACCTGTATGTTTAAGAAACAAATGCCCTCTGTGGCCATTGCTAGGCAACCACAACAGTATTACCAGTTAAAGGTAGGCTGGCAGGTAGGTGGGAAGGAGAGAAGGAAGCAGGAAAAGGGGAGAGGCTATGAGGGCTTTTAGGAAAGGGAAAGAAGAAATAGCAGTGAAGAGGGAAAGGAGATGCCCCCCTGCAATTCTTGTGGTCCCCTGCTTGTCAAAAACTCATTTTTCTTAGTGTGTTATAATACAACTTGTGTTAGTCATATTATTCCCCTCTTTATAATTGAGGAAAACAGAGGCTGCAAGGTAGCAACGGGCCAAGAAAATTCCCTGTTACCATTGTTAAATTTCAGACACTCAGCTCTTCAAGGGCAGATATGTCTTTTGCTTGTATAAGGCTATCACTGATGGCTCTGTATACACCATATCAAGTTGTAATTATAGTATCCTATACTATACGAAGCACACCTTGAAGACTAGTATAGTATAGTTAAAACCAGTATAGTATAGTTAAAACCAGATACAGGCCTTAAGGTTCTATCCACTGAACCATGCTGATAACAAGGATTTAGTACCCTGTCAAAAATGCTGCATTCAAATGTCACAAATAAATCAATTTATTTATGAAGGCCATGAATCTGGTTCCACATCTGGACTGTGTGATGCCTCCTTCCTCACAAATCATGCTGAGATGGAAAGAGAAGTCTTCAATCCCAATTAGTCATGACATCCTAATGTGGACACCTATACAAACTTAGGATACCTTCTCTCTCAGATTAAAGGGTAACAATCCCAGATAATGGGGGGAAACTAACCCCAATTTATCTGAATGCAGGAGGTGCCTGAACAGTATGGCTAATTAATTAGCTGAAACTTTTAGTTTTCAACCTTGGCAGCCTGCAGGAAAACAGTGTGTCAGACTATATTTAACCAGCCTTATGCCCATCACAAACTAACTGAAATTTGTTTTGCAACAGCCAAACAGTTTCTCCGGTGAAACTGACTTTGGGCTTGGTGATACAGGAGTCCAGAATACTATCACTGTGAAGTATATGAATCAAACAACCTGAAAGGACAAAAACCTGACTAACACTAAAATGAACATTACACATTTTCAAAAGAAGTTTACCCCTTTCTAGCTTATCAGAGATATCAGTGTTTTATCTCAGTTCAGGTAACATTAATATGCGACTGCAGTAACTTTGTTTCAGAGATCTGTATTAAAGGTACAAAAACAGTGAGAGCAATGAAGCTCATTTCAGCCAATATACTTCTCAACTCCTAATCTGTTATGGATGGATAACTGAAGTAATGAATGTTATGGTACTCTGAATACTTAGGAAAAACACCACACAAATACTAATTATTGCTATTACCTACACCCAGCTTTTAACAGGAGTGACTTGTGTATTATTACTAGAACTGGATAGAAGATAACCTTTTGACTCAAGCTGATATCTAAAAACAGTAATTTTACAGTTTGATCCTGCTAAGTTTAAGCACTGATGAATGTATTTCATATTAATGGTCAACTCAGAAGAATGTAAGAAAAGCTGCACTTTATGGGCAGATAGGCCAAGTTTATTCAGATAACTTTATTGCACATAAAATTCATCACTGTATTCTGAAGTAGCAGTAAGAGACTATTCATTCATAGAAGAAATTACATACAAGTATGACCTTTGCAGACTGTTTTTTTTTTTTAAGACAACTTGGAAAGCTTATGTACTTGATAGACTCCAAGTACCTCTTCTCCATCTCTATAAAAGCATAGTATCTCTTCTCTATAAAAGCACCGTTTTTAAGCTCTTCAAGTAGTATAGAACTGGCAGCAGACTCAGACTGCACAAATCAGTAACAAAAGCACAATGACTATATATGGAAGAATGATTTATTACAAAAGTAAAGATCCTTTACTTCTGAAGCCAGCTATTTGCCCAACATTTAGATAGCCGCTATAAAGCCAAGAAAATGGTCTTGGGTAGAATTTTTCCATCTCTTTTTTTTAAAGTCGCTCAGGAAAGTAAATATGATTAGATAGCCAGCTGGCAAGCAGGAACAACTCTAGCTAATGCTGTTATGGAAGAGCCAAGAAAAACATTCCCATTGAGGAGAGAGGGAACCCCTGTATGTTGTTGAAAATAGGAAGAAATACAACATGAGGGGAGTTTATGACAAGCACTCTACGGATGTGAATGAGTTTCTCCTGGTGTATCTGAATGGCTGCCAAGTAAAACAGAGAGGTCCCTTGCTCCAAGTAGTATTAATTCTAGGCCCTGGGATACTGTGGCAGCTCTGTGGCAGCTGCAGACATCACTCTTACGGAGACAAAGTTTACTCACCACAGTGTACAAATATAGAGCACAACTCAATGTTTCTCATCTTCATGGAGTTAAATGAAACATTGGGGGGGGGGGAATCAGCTTAGTCCATTGTTGATAGCTTTCCTTTTTGTAGAATTTTAAGAAGTCGTTGGAAAAGTCATTTTGATGTTTTAAGACAGTGATCTTCAGTAGCTCAGGAGCCACGTGTAGCTGACAGGCTACCTGTGGCTCTTGCCCAATGTGACACCATTCACATGTACCAGTAAAGTGATCGGGATCATTGCCCAGCAGGGTCTGGTATTGCCAGGCAGTTACCACCTTAGAACAGCCACTACTAGAGGACAGGTAAGCTGAGATCCCCCTTGAGTTGTGGGCCTCATTCCAGGGACAGAAGGGTCAGTCCCCTCCAACAGTCCCCTCTTCTCTGCAGCCTCTGTGTTCTCATCTCCACACAGGGCAACTTCCAGGACAACAGCAAGCGGACTGCAGAGAAGAGACAGTATAACTACCACAGCAGCCACCCCCCCCCCAAAAAAAGCAAGACAGCTACTGTGGGGTGGTAGTTTTCCCTTCTCTACAGCCAGCTGGTCCTCTTCTGGGCACCAGAGCAATCTCACTCTCTTGCACGACCTGCTGTGCCTTCTGCTAAGGAGAAGGGCAAGATGGAAGAGCTTCCCCTCACTCCAGATATACAAGAGCTGGCTAAGGTTCAACAGTGGTGGGAAGAGGCAATCCTACATATCAAAGGTACTCTGGTAATTTAAAAATTTAGGTATAGCTACAATATTATTAGGCATCTTATATTATTGTACACATGTTCGGTGGGGCAGCAAACAGGGCATACAATAGTTATGTGGCTCTTTTGATTGCTGGTACTTGTGTATATGGCTTTAATGTATGGAAGTCCTCTCTGAGAGGACAACTGGGCCCTTTCCAGTTCTTTTATCAAGAGCCCCATAATTTACAGTTAAGCAATGGGGACAAAAGTTACCCTAACCTCCTCCCTACAAAATTACTATAGGAAGTTGGTTTTAATGAAAAGGCACATTTTTGGTTTTTAATGATGTTATTTACCATTAAGGTATTACATTAATTGTGTCTGATTCAGCCTTTGGCCATATCCAGTAAATACTATTTATACATTTGGATGACAGCTTAATAAAGAAAAACCTGAATGGTAACTGAACATGCCAACATGGACACAAGCCACCCTAGACTCTCACTTCCAATATGCCTTCTCACAGAGGTAAGCAGATTTGGACTTAGCGGCTGTTCTCATTACATGCTTGTCTGAATCCTGGTTCTCCCAAAGTGGTCAATCTGTATCTGGGCTATATCACTTGGGGGGGGGGGGGGGAACACCGAAGTTTACATGATTCTATGGTCCTGAATACATGGAAAAAGAAAAAGAAAACTAGATGTCAATGAGAAGGGTTCTAGCCAACTTTCTCCATGCCTTGATATGTATGCACAGGGTTTGCTTGTTTTTAAATTTTGGGCCATTCTGTCAACAAGCAGCCCCTTGGCAATCTGAAGTCACACAGACCAGGGAGGCCAATCACGTCCTATTTTTTTTACTGACAATTTAGAAAGAACAGCACCACTATCTATTGTCGGGAAGCTAGAATGGTAGCATTCAGCATAGCCTGTGACACAAAAAGTTAGTCTTTCAGGTACTATTGGACTCTGCAAGATACTAATATGGCTATGGTCAGAATTTCTCCCTCCCCTCAGTAGCCACAACACACGTTTCCTTCTTTTCAAGAGGCCACAGAAAGCTAACATACCTTTTCATAATGTGTCTCCATGCACAAGAATATAGTGTAGGCAGTCAGGCATGCCAGGCACCCTTCAAGATAAGACTGGCTCCCAAGCTTCTCTGCTTCTGCATAAAGATTGTTTAGTGTTCGCACCGTTTCTTCAAATTGCTGCCTGTCAATCTGAAAAATGCCATCAAATTCAGAAGTTAATGCATGCAGTGTGGCTCCTCTGTCAAACTGATTTCCTGCACGGTGACAGTTGCTTAACCTCCACAGCAAAGGACTAATGGGTTAAACTTGTGTCTTTAGAGTTGAATGTTTCAGCACAGACTACAGATTATGTAGGCTCTTGAATTACAGGTTTTGGCAGAATACAATCAGGTTCAGTAGAGTGTTTTAAGGTACATTATGCAGCTACTGTTGATGAAAGCCAACTAATAAAATTAAGCTACCAATTGCCATCATTAGAGCAATATTCTGCTATGGGGGCACAGTGCTGGCTCTACTTATTTTGATCTACCCCTGCAGTCAATATAGCAAGTTTCAGAAGATAAATTATCCCATTAATGTTTGTCAAGTACTAGCTGGCCAGCAGCTTAAGGAGCACTGGAGACCAAAGACACAAGGAGGCTCCAAGAAGCACTTGATTAAAGTAGGAGTGAGAAGACATACCAATGCAAGGGAGACTGGTGACCTCATTAAGCAACAATGAGGGCTTCGTTATTCTCACAACAATTAAAGATGACTACACTGTTGCTTCAGAAGCTCCTTCTCTTTGTTTAAACTCTGAGCTGACAGCATGTGGTACTTGGAACTGGAAACCTAGGCTCGGACAGGAACCTTATGCCCATTCACGTGACAAATTCCAAACTCAAAAGAACTCAGTAAATACACACACAGGCTCAAGCAGTGAAGCCACTCTCAGTCTAATGTTAAAGAGCTCTTTTGGACTTCTTGGAGAAAGAGCAGCACATAGGTAACTAAGAAACCCCCAGTTCAAATCTCATCTCAGCCACTAATTCATTAGGTGCCCTGGAAAAGTCACTGTTCTCAGCCAAAATCCCTCCTCCTGCAGTTCTACAAGATGGGGATAATACTGGCCTACCTTAGAGGAAAGGTTATGAGGATGAAGTATATGAAAATCTTATATGTATTACATAATAGGTAAATAATTCTTCAATTCCGCAGGGCCTGTAAGATGGCACTGTTCCACCAGGCCTTTGGCTGAGGCAGCAGATGTCCATGCATGGCCTCCCTGAGGTTTCTGTCACCCATCTAACAACTTCCAGCCATTTTTTTTAGGTCACCAACGAGCCAGGGAACCTCTCGCAACTGCTAATTTTCTGCTCTCGGGCTGTGACCACCATTTTAATGTATATGACGGTGTTTTTAATATTTTAATTATTTATTGTACTACGGAAATATTGTTACATGCCATGAACCCGCTTGCAGGAAGGGAAGGCTATAAATATGAATAAATAAAACAAATAAATAATAATAATCAGTATCCTACTAAAAGCATCCGTCCAATTCTAGATAAAATGCTCTTAGCATTAGCCTAAATAAAAGATTTACCTGTGAAGACAAAACATTTCAATTACTATAATCCCAATATGCTACTTCCAGGGAACCATTCCATATCAATTTGCCAATCAAGAAACCTTTGCTTATTACAGAGAATTCTGGGGAATGTTTGAAGCTACGCTAGTCACACAGGGCACTGCTGGGCTTGATCACCAGTGTGAACCACAGATGTCCCCAATATACCCAATGCTCCCCATTGGAATAGTGAGAGATGGGTCAGAAAAACTTCTCATTTGGAGACTTCCAGCTCATTGATGGGTCACTATAGGTCTAAGGGCGAGTGTATTTCAGCAACTGTGTTAAAAATATTTTGCTTGGGCAGAGATGCGAAACTCTACTAAATTCCATAACTTCTTTTTCACAATCAGCACAGATTAAAATGAGAACGATTTTGAATACAACCTTAAACCAACAGTCTCCTCATGCCCCAAAGCAAGACTCTGGAAGGCAGGTAATATGACAGCTGTCTTAGTCAGACTCTATAATGAAAAGACTTCCACACAAACGTGACACTATGAGCAACTCGCCCACTTATTATCTACTCTCAGATGTCCAGCAGGATCTACTAGTTCAGTGAACTTGTAAACAGGAACTGACATCCATTACAGATGGCAGAAAGATTTGAATATCTTCGCTTTCATTTGACATCCTGAGAATTTCTGCACTAATAGCTCACGCAAGGATGAGTCCACAGCCTAAGGAGCCACTTATATGAGTCATATGTATTGAGACATCTTCAAATTTCTTCAGTGGAAGAATAGGCAACTGGAGGGATTTCCCATCTGGTACCTAGCATACCCCCCACCCTTTATTATGCACTGCAGAAACCCTCCCCCAGACCAGGATATAAGGTTTCTTTAACTCCCTCCTCCCCAGAGCAACAGAATTCTCTCCTTACGCACCCCAGTTGTCTTTACACAACACTGGAAATAAGGATACAGGTATAAAGTGCAACAGTTGAAAAAATATGTTTGAAGAAGAACTTCTACCAATCCTCTGCTGCTGTTCACTAGGGAGGAAGGGGTTAAAGAGTCTTGGGTTTTGGATCAAACTGAGCCAATATTGCTGTTCCTTCAGTTCCTGTCCAATTCATTAGTTGCTAATTAGTTGCTAAGCAGACCTTTAGAGAATACTTTCCCCCAGTTGTGTTAAGACTACTGCCTTGGTCTTGCCATGTACCATAGGTCTCTACCTCAATGTCACTCAAACTTTCTACTTTCTCAAAGTTAATTAGAAAAAAATTAAAGATCAATTAACAGGATTTTAGCCAGCCAATTTAAAGAGGTTAAAGTGCCTTCATTTAGTATGTAAGACTCAAAAAGGAAGAAAAAAGTTAAGTTGCAAGATACAAGAACTGTTCCTTAGCATTATCACTGCTGCCATATAATATTGGCAAGTATATTCTTTAAGTGTACCAGTAGAAAAGAGCAAGAGCCCAGTAGCATCTTAAAGACTAACAAAATATGTAGCAGAGTATGAACTTTTGAGTGAACAGTGACTCACGAAAGCTCATACCCTGCCACATATTTTGATAGTCTTTAAGGTGCTACTGGACTCTTACTCTTTTCTCTTGCTATACAGACAGACTAACACGGCTGCCCATCGTGTTTAAGTGTACTAATTCTTCACAACTAATATGCTATAATGTATGTGACAACACATTATTGAAGAGTTCAATGTTTTTAGTCCTACTGTGGCTGTGTGAGACTATTCCTGCCAGAGGAACACTTTGTTTACTGCAAAATTTATGCTTCCTATTTTCAAAATAGTCTACCTACCTCTGAGATGGCAAAAGCCATGTGGTAAATTAGCATGCAGTGCAGCAGTCTGCAACTCTCTGATACTGTGTATGTTCACAATTTTCCTTGTATAAAACTACATTTGGCATATTTTATAACTTTATATGGTAACCAACTATCATGTATATTTCAATTTTCCCAAAATCACCCCCCTCCCCAAAAAAGAAAATCCCAGAAAAACTGAGTTTCCGCATGACTTCAACATTTCTGGAAATTTTACATCTCTAGCAGAGGAAAACCACAATAACTTCAGAACCAAATACTAGACCAAGAATACTGGTGATACTACATTAAAAACATACTGGCATGGATTTTAACAGAAAATTGTTACTGTTAGCTGCCCCTAACTCTTGCTAAAAGAAAATCTGTAGTAGTTTCAAGACAACAGGCAGAACACTAGTTTTGGAGTAGGATGACACCTTTAAGCTCCCCCCCCCCTCTGAAATCTGGTGCATGGTGAAGAGAGCCATACATCAGTTTTGTGTACAGGCCCTTCAACAGCCCCAGCTTTTTGCTTGTGAGCTTCACAGATTCAGGGGAGGGGTTTTAACCTTCAATTAAAGTTGATAAACTCTGATGTGATTAGAGTTTGCAGATGGTCAGTTTTCCTGTCTCACTGCTAGCAATTGGGGTTACATGATTATGGCCATCTGACTTTGCACAGATTCAAAGCTTGTGAAGTTGACAGTGTATCCATTTCAGTTAGTAATTGCTTTCAATTGTGCTGTGATATGGACAGAGTCACAGTTGGAAGACTTCAGGGCTTTCTATACACGTTCTCTTGAATTTGCACAAAATAAACTGCTTTTTTAAAAAAACAGATAAGACACATGATTGGTTTTATAATGGTTTACGGTTAATCAAAAACAGATTAGCTAAAACAACACCAGATGTTTAGAGATTCATCATAACAGGCTCCACCAGATGCTCTGCACTCATAAGAACGCAACCATTTTGCTGCAGCACTCCCCACAAAGGCAGAAAGGCACTTTACTGGATGTAAGCTGTTGTACATTAACTCACAACATCCAAGAAAACCCTATAGCATCAGGAAAGAGTATGCAACACCACAGTGAGTTTGCCAATGTTAGTTTGGTGTTGCTCAGTTCTTCTCACTATGTCAAACTACAAACAAAGCTGATTAGAGCTGCCAAACACTTACCCGGTTCTCCAGCTCTGGAGGGAACTTGATCTGGAACTGGCACCTGGTGCCACTGCTGTAGTCCCGCTGGACAAAGACCTTACTCGCAACAGGCGGCTGCTGTGGCCTCATCTCGCAGCTCGAACTGGCCAGTCTGGAGGTAGAGAGATAAGACACTTAGGCACAGTGGTCCTTATGCAGACTCATTCAGGGAAGAAGACCCATCTCATCTCAAAGCACAGAGACCTCTCACCTATAAGTGGCCCCCATCAACCCAGACACCTCATTTCCTTTTTCCACATCCTTCCTAAAAGCCGCACTATTTCAAAGCTGCCTCTGTGTCACCCACCCTCCATTTTGAACTGCCATTCAGGAAGACCCTTTAGCAAAGACAGGTCCTACGACCAGTATTACACCATATGTGGTTCTCCCTTGGAATCATCTGTACACCTAACCAACTTTGCTCTAAGTGTCACCCTTAGCACACCAGGCAATGAGCCCATTTGGGCAACATGAGAATCAAATGATTTTGCCACATTTCAATTAGTTTAGGTACCTCAAAAGTTTCAAGATTACCATTTGACCTGCACAGATAACACTGTTACAGTTAAAACAACAAAGAGTATTGCTGTAAACACTGTTACAGTTAAAACAACAAAGAGGACCGCAACACTGCAAAGACTAATACATGTATTGCTGCTACACTATATAACTAATCAAAACACACCCTTAAGTGGTAACCTTTAAGCTTTGTTCTCTCCCCACCATCCAATAAAAAGTTTATTTCCAACGAAAAGAAATGGTACCAGCTGATCCTGTTCCCTGCTCCCTTAACATGCAAAACACAAACTTAATTTCAAACAATCCAGGAGGCACATCTCTCAGGTGTCTTTGCTACTTACCTTTCTCTGGAAGTGGAAACATTCCAATTTCAAAAAAAGTTCCCTGGTATGACAGGCAAGGCTTTTAAAAGTTATATCATAAATTTGTCCATCTTCATTTTTCTACAGCAGTCTACGACCATGAACCATGAGAAATCACTGGGGGCAAGAACAAGCTGGAAATCTATCTCCCTGCTTAGCTTCCAAGATCGGGCTCGCCTAGGCTTTCCAGGTCGGGGCACTTTCAATCCACTTTGCAACTGGATTTTACTGTGTGAAATGGCAAAATGCACTTCTGAACAGCCACTGGATTGAAACTGCATTATTTAGCATGTGTGAAAGCACCCAAAGTCTCCAGTTCAGCTCTCCCGCGATTGAAATATAGGACAAAGAACACTGGCCTCTTTTACAAGGATACTTGTTGAAAGGACGAAAGCAGAATTCTCTCAAAGACTTTATTAAGAACACTCCATCCCCCAAAAGCCTTATGTAAACGGGATTACCCCACACACCCTACCTCAAAATGATCGGCCCATTTCAAGACGCCTTCCCTTCCAATACCCATAATTTAGACTACACCCCCACTCCGCAATCTACGCAGATTGCCGCCACCCCTCCCCCACAGCCGCCGACTGCCAGCCGCCCTCACCCATCGCCCCTCACCAAACCCCGCCAGTCATCAGCCGCTCTCCCTCGGAAGAGAGAGACTTCTCCCCCACCCCCGTCTTCTCAGCCTCCCTCCTTACGGGCAGAGCCGGAGCCCCTCCGCCAGCGCGGCCGCCGCCTCCTCCACCTCCTCCGCTTCCAGCTTCTGTCGCGCCAGCTCCGCGCCTTCACTTACGTCTGCCGTAAAACCAACACTACACAGACCCCTCCTTTCTCGTCTCCCTCTCACCTACAGGAAAACAAACTAAACAGCGGTTGGGCGGCTGTTAAAGCACCAGCGCATGCGCCCTTTCCCCTCGAAGGAGAACGGAGAAAGGGGGGGTGCGCGTGCGTATAAGGAGACCCGGAGCGCATGCGCGTAGTTTTCCTTGCTTTAATTTTTCTCTTCCACTCCAGTTCTTCCTTCCCTCTTTTCTGGTTGCAGCTGCGCAAAGATTCTTGAGAGCGTGTGCCCCCTTTCCGCACAAGAGCGGGAGTGCTTTAATCCCGTTTAGTAGCGAGAGAAAGGGGATTTAAATCCAGCTGCAGCACCTGTTTGTTTGTTTTCTCCCCGAAGCGGAGGTTTTTGATTTTCGGTTTGCATTGCTGATATCCCCTCTTCTCCAATAGCACGCCTTATTTGTGGTGGGACTCACGGAGGACGCGCAAGCAAACAGTAACATCAGTTTTAAATTTGCCTCTAATAATAATTGTGTGCCATCAAGTGGCAGCCATAACAACCCCAGGACTATGCGGTTTTCCAGGCAAGAGCTGTCCACAGGTGGTTTTACCTTTGCCTAGCAACCCCAGCCTTTTTTGGTGGTTTGTCATCCCATGGTCAACTGTGCTTCATTTCCAAGTTCTGATAAAGTTGGACTAGGCTAGAGCATCACTCAGGCTGCTCTTCATGCCTTTGGGTCAATGTTATTTGCATTTTATTATCCTGCTTTCCCATGTCCAGGATGGTGAACAATTCCAACAAGGGAGCTGGCAACCTAGAGGGGCTGCTGGAGGTGTTCAAGCATAGACTGGGTATTCATCGACGTGGATTGCTCTAGCTCTGGATTTCCTGCACTGGTTGGGAGGGGGAGGAGGAGTGTTGCACTAAATTGCCTCTAAGGCTGCTTCCAGTGCTATGGTGATATGCATTTAAAAAATGAAATACAGATAAAATACCAGCAGCTCAGAGGACATATAAATAGCTGCATAAAAATAAAATATTAGCAGCACAGAACATAACTAGCACAAAAACAGATCATCTGGTTTTCACTGCAGCAATAAAAGATCTTCCCTTCATAGCAGACAATAACAATATAGAAAACCATCTTGAAATGTTTTTGCACTTGGCTCAGCCCTGGACCCTCCAAAAACCACTGAGCTCCGCAATCTAAATCTACCTTCACTAGGGATCCTCTCTGAGCCCCATTCCCTCATATGGAGGACTCAGACCCCACCTACACAGATTCCAGAATTTTTATTTCAAGAGCTGACACAAAATTATTCAGGATGGTGAGCAAGGTTGACTATGAAGAGCTCCAGGAGGATCTCCACAAACTAAACGAGTGAGCAACAGTGTGGCAAATGAAGTTCACTATGGGCGTGGTCAGACGCGCTGTTTGATCTGGTGTGTGACGGTTCA